GCTGATGGAGAAGCTGCCGGGTTACCACAAGGCCGAGGAGAAGGAGGTGGAGAAGAGCAGCCCTGCCCACTAGGAACTCTTTCTCATGCCGGTGTCATACTCTTCTGATGTGTTTGGTTTGCTGCTGGTCGTGTGTCATGCATCTGCAATGCTTTTGGTTGGTAGTCTTGGCTTTCGAATAGGTGCCTGGTTTCATGTTTTGGTGCCACTGGGGTTTCTTTGCTGCAAACTAGAATGATGATCGATTGGTATTCATTGTGCATACATATCTATCAATTATACATCTGTTTTTATGTCTAGTTCTTCCCTTTACCTGCTGCTGAGAGCCTGACATAAGAACCATCTTTTTCAAAGGAAAAAAAAAGACATAAACAGGAAAAGCAAATCCTCCACTAATCCATTATGTCAAATGATGGCCATCAAAGAAAAGAAAAAGATGCAGTGGTTAGTTATGCAATGGTTGCACTCAAAGAATCCCTCTTTTACACCGTGAATGAGGGCTGGCTTTCGATGGTGTGGAATCAAAGACACTGTTGTAGGTTGAACCCCATCACACTCCGACGTTGGACGCTTGCATTATTCCAGTCAAAACATCGCCAAGTCAAATGACAATCTATTTTCGATAAGAGGATGCAGTTAAATTCTATAAAAGCCTCATTTGATCAAATAAGTTTGATTTAGTCAAAATAATCCATAATCATTCTGAACCGAGCTGATTCGGTCAAGCTAGTATGATTCGGTTTAATCATTTCTCACAGGCATTGTGGGCTGACTTCTCGGCTCAACACAGTACTGGGTCAGCGCTGGCTTAGCCCACAGTGGGCTGAAACAGGGAGCACGTTTGCAGCACGTGCTCAGAGGGCAGACGGCAGGCCTCTCCAGGCCGCGCCGCGCTGACCCCACACCCCCCCCAGCCGCGGGCCCTGCCGCGGGCCCCCCCAGCCGCGGGCCCCACACCTCGCTAGCCGACTCACTGGACCTGAACAGATCCCGGACTCGAATATTCCGAGCCTTAGCCGAACCAAAGTCGGGCCTTGGTCCGGCTGCTCCGGACTGGGTTAGCCTGATCCGACCCTGGTCTGACTCGGTTCCGACACGAATTCAAATTGATTAATTATTTTACAATTTTTTTTTTATAATTATAGAATAATGATTTTAATTATAAAAAAACCAGAATAACATGTAAAATTTCTAAAATACAAGATTAAATGTTCCAGAACTGAAATATGATTAATACAATTTAAAAACTATTTTGCATGAACTAAATATTAATAAAATAGTATTTTTTTTAAAAAAATAAAAAATCATTAAAAATAAAATCATATGAATAAATTTCATGTCAGATAGGCTACATAGGATCCGAATCTTAATTTAAATATATGTTTTTAAACAATTAAGAGATCATAGATTTCATATATTTCAATTTAAAGATAACAGATAGTGTGCACAAAGTTTCAAAAAAATATAATTAATATAAATCAAATCATATAATTTATAGATTATAAATTATAAAATTAATATAATAACTAAAAATCGAAGACAATGTCGTTGATGAATAGGGAAGGACTGTACTCGTACTTAAATAGTAGAGAAAACTCAATTTGAACTCTTAAGAATAAGAAAAAAATAATTAACTCACATGAATAGGAAAATAAAATAAAATATTTTTAAGAATAAAAAAAGATAATTAATTGATACACAAATAAGTGAAAATATTAAAAATATCTGTGTGTATGAGAAAATCATGTTTGTACTTGATTAAATAGTCGATGTATGTTTATTCTTGGTTGCGTACTACAAAACGAAAGCCCACCTTCGAATCGCACGAATTACCCCAACACTTAGCATAGTTTTTTTATCAAATAAGAATGCTGTAAGTACATCAAACAAGAATACATATCTCAATCTTGTACTTGATAGTAGCTGAGATTTCTCCAACTACATGAAGAAATATTATTGTTCTGTTAAGAAAAATTTTTCATCGTTATGTGTATAAATAAAGAGTACCATATCAAACGCATATATGTTCTTCTTTGTTTCATTCTTTACATTAATCCTTAATTGGCATTAGCTTATTGTTAAAAGTAAAAAGGGGAGATAAAGCTGTAGTGATATTTAGGTTGGATTAAAAGAGGGACATAAAATGCTCTTATGGTTTATTTAAGAATTGATAAAATTCTTAGAATAATTAGAAATGTTAACAGTGAGAAATAATGAAGAAAAATGTAATTAAATTAAATTAATTCATATATGATATTTGTTTATATTTTATGGGTGATTATTCGAATAATATTTTTATATATACAAAGTATCAAATGACTCTATCTAGCTTGTTTTAGAAGTAATATACATGCATTTATATATCCATATTTTAATTATTCAAAAGGATTGAAAATGATTTATTATTGCTAGTTTTTAATGTTATATGAATTGTTACAAATGTGTTATATGAATCAACACTGGTGGTATATTTATATCATATCAGATGCAAAATAATATTTTACAAATGTGTATACCAACCAAAACTTATTACAAATGTGTATAGATAAGTAATTACAAGTACTTCCAATCAATTTTCTTTATTTTTGGAGCAAAGCATACAAAACATCAAATCATTCTTAATATTTCTATCAAATATCATACAAAAGTTTTATATTCACCAAAACCATAATTATAGCTAAATGATATATCAAAATAAACATCATATTCATGCAAATGACTATGATCAGCAATTCATAATTTAAATAAATATAGCTAAACATACGTATCTAAATTCATAATAAATATAACTATAGCTAAGAGTAAATGCCAAAAACAATAGTCATAATAATACAGTTTTGATTAAAACATAATCAAAGCTGTGAACATGCTGGAATCAGAACCTTGTTTGCTTCAGAAGAAGACTGCTTTCTTTCCCCTTCTCTCTGGATCTACTCGAGAAAAATCTTCCTCCAGGCATCACTCTCTGCGTCCTGCAGGCAGTAACCATCCTTGGATCGATTAGCTTCATATTTTGATGCTCTGACCTTCAAAACTAGCTTCAACTTATTACCTCCGTTTCGGCCTCCGGACTTGTTTCCAGCTTTACCTCGTCATTCATCAAGTGTTTAGTCTCATCCTCCAAATCATTGACCTATATATAATCCAAGAAATGAGAGAGACAACAACACCATCTACAGAATGTGTTGATTTAGCAATAGCTAAAGCACATAGAATGCCTAAATGAACAATACATCATAAATGATGCAAATTAGACATAAGTTACTATCTAAAAGCAACAATGCAATACATGAGCAGAGAAATGCCTCCTGTTTCTCACATAAAGAAAGAACACATTATGAAGCAGACAAGTTATATCAAAGTTTTCAAGAATGAACACTCATAAACTAATAGCAATCCTGAAACCAGAAATCCTCATGAAAAATAACGAGGTGGGTGGCTTCTTCAGATGATTTCTCTTTATCGAGCCTTCCAAAGAAGTAGTCAACAAGAAGTACCTTGGATAGCCGGTCAGAGTACTTCTCCTGCGCCCAAGCACTTCAATTTTTGATGCGCTCCTCCTTTTCTTTCTGCAACTTTCCTGCTTCGTCCTGCCAGATTAAGGATCCAGCCAGACGGACCATAAGAAGGTAACCAAGACTATCCTGTTGAGGCATACATACATATATAATAGAGAGAGAGAGAGAGAGACGGCCTGGTTTTGGTGGATAATGCATCTGATCTCGGGAAATTTGTTCTGGTAATTTCTTGATTTGGACCAGCATAGATAGATAGATAGATAGATCTAAGAGTAACATCACTCACTGAAGTAGAGAAAATTTCAGTGCAACTGTATAAAGCAATACTTTTATTTTGATTTATACGATCTTGTGCTTCCTTCAGAAATCCCAATAGAAAAGATTGCTTCTGCATTGTGTATTCATCTTCTTTAATGTTCTTCTTATTCCCTAACACATGTTTGTCATAATTAGTTGCATGTACAGGTTGGGAATAGAGGAAACAAACCTTTGATGAAAACTTATGCACTAAAATCTTCATCATGAAAGAAGAATCTGACAACATCGCATACTATGTAATGGTTTGTTGATTGCTGTTGTGCCATTTAGTCTCTTGTTGCATCTCCTAATATATATATTAGGAGCCATCTCAAACCTTTTAGTTGGTAAATATGTGATAGAAGACTGTTTGTTTCCTTGATGTGTGGTGTTGAGATTCATAGTAAGTATATCTTGTGATCACTTTTTGTCAATTATTTGTTTCGTGATATTACTCATACGAATGATTCTCTATCATGCACTTATAAGATTGAACTTTTGTTATGAATATCAATCTTGAAACTATGTAAGTATAATATTTTATAAGAAAATGACTTTGTGAGAAAGTTTTCTAATTTGTCAAAAGTATGAACGTGAGATATACGATTTTTGACAAACTCAGAGTATAAGTTGATGTTCTAATTGAATTACAGTACTCAACTCTTGTGGCAGATGGTGCAATAGTGGTGATAATATTTTATTTCTTGAAGTTTCAATTAATGGGGTTTGCTCTAAGAAAATTAATATATATTTAAATGGATGTTTTGTTATTATTACTGTGTGTCCAATAAAGTTACGAAGATGAAGAGATGAATATTTTTAAATGAAAATACCAAAGACATGAAGATAAAGGGATGAATGTTTTTAAATGAAAAGACCTAACTAAGGGTCTCAAGATATCATAGGATACATTTGAGATGGAGTGTGGAATATGAAACAAGATGATGGGGTGATAGAAGTTAACTATATCAAGGATTGAGACTGCTTGGAACTCAGCAGCAGTTAGTAGAGGAGCCTGAAGAGCATTTTCTAGGTAATGAAGGTCTGCAATAATATGCTATAGCAAATTCACATATAATCTGTTAACAAAGATAGAAACCATGTTGGTGCAAGCTTCAGGAGGAGATTTGCATTCAAACATAAGCTTTGAATGTGTCTTTTAAACCTGAAGATAGTAGATAATTTTGAGAACAATATACATATATCCAGAGAATGCCAGTACTGTCAAGCTTTTGATCTCCACAAAAGCAAGCCAATTGAGCTTTTCAAAACATCAGTAATATATTATGTGAACTCAGATGCAATTTGGGAGTAAGCAATCATTTACCTAACATGGTAACAGTATGTTTACAAAAGGTTTCATCCTCTTGATCTGATCATTCGTAATGATCACATCCAAACATTGGTGTTAGAGCAAGTCCATTCTCCCTAATGCCAGTTATAGCCTCTTTCATCACTGTGCATTCCTCCTTCCTACTGACTTCAAGTTGTCTGCTGAGACTTTGAGATTCCCAAGCAAGCCTGTTAGCATTGACATCCCAAGACGCCATGAAGTGTTCTGCCTTCCATCATTAGATCCCTACTCCACAAGAAACAGCAATGCTGGTGCAATGGTAATGATGATATCAACCTACCTCTTGCTCGACGCCCGATGGGAAGGCAATGACGCACTCCACCATTTTGATGTCCACCTATCTATTTCTCTCCTATACCCACCCACACAATGAACTTAGAGATGGAATGAAGCAATAAATGTGTCATCCCGTTGAGAACAATCAAGCAAGAAGAGAGCTAGTTTACCAGTACATTAACTCTATAAATAAATCTTTTATATATTTATGTATATAAATATATCCTCTTCTCTTCAACAGAGATCATCGTATCTTATCTCCACCATACATGCAAAAGACAGCTGTTCTAGCACCAAAAGAAGAGAAACAATTACTGGGGCAACTGATGGTCTCTGATGCAAGGAGGATTAGATGCAGCAGTAATACTTGTTGCTTAGTTTATTTGAGAGTAAATTATCTACTAAGATCTTCTCTATCATATAGAAAAGATCTGTTCTCTTCTAATATGGCCAACAAATAAGAAAACCCTAACAAGCACTGTAGGAAAAGAAACAAGAAAAGAAAAAGGGAAAAAAAGAGCATGATTTCAGTCTGCTCTTTATCACAACCACACATGTTTTTTCTAACTTAAGAGGAAGGTATATCTATAATTCCAGATGATGTAGATCTTTCTTTTCGAGTGTAGCCAAGCAAAACACAATAGGACAGAAGCTAAGATGAGGTTAAGTGAAGTCATTTTCCACCGGTACAGAGATAAAAATAGAGAAACAAAAGAAGATTAGGGTTTCTTAGAAAGAGATACGGCCCAGGGAACATACCATCATCATTTGATGGTGTATGATGGATGAAGACTGAGATGGGAGATGGAAGTCCTGGTTTCTAGCTTCAGCACAAAGCTCAAAAAACATGAATCAGGGTTACGAGACCTCAACAGTACATGTCCTTAACCAGTAAATCAAATGTTGGGCAAGATAGAGCAAATGAACAGACGAAAGCAAATCTTGAATTGTTCTAACCTTTTGATGTTGTCAGCTCTCATCCTCTTCCCAGCCTAGTGGGGGACTCGATCTGCATGTGGAAACACAAGCAGTAGTCCAAGAAAGATGAGTGACACTTAAGGAGGAGAAAAGCAAAGGGGCCTGAGAATCTGCTTATAACAATCATTCCCAGTGTGCACAGGCAAAAGAAAGCAGTCAACGCGATTTCAAACATACAATGATGGTGTGTTACAATTGTTGCCAGGAAAAAAAGAAACCTAATAGGAGACTTAAATACATGCATACATATGTATTTATAGGTCATAATCCTCACCTTCTTCTTCTTCTTCTTCTTCTTTACTGCAGAAATTATACTTGGCGAAAAGATCTATCATATGAGTTTCACAAAGAGAAGCCAACATAGGTCAGTTGGCAGGATGCCCACCTCCATCGAGTTGTTGTTCTCCTTGGGGATGTATAAGAGAGGGATCAGTACTTGGAGGTGGACAGAATGCCAAATAACCTCTGTGAGAGACCCTTTGTTAAACCCACATGACAACAACCACACCGCAGCCATTGAATTCGAGTGAGAGATGGAGTATACTTATAGATAGATATCTAGAGAGAGAGAAAGAGGTATAGTCGTTGTTTGAGACCAAGAAAAGCTTAAAAAGAGACGAACAATGAGTGGAGAAGGTGGGAATGGCGTGACTTTTTGGTTGCGGTGTGATCATAATTAGAGAGAAGAGGAGACAAAACAAAATTGGATGTCCCAATGCTTCTTGCCTTGTGCACCTCACTCCTCACTGTTGTGCAACACCAAACTCCCATACAAACGCAAGCAAAGGAATACAAAAGCTGCCACTGGCTCAGAGATAACGTTGAGGTCTGTGGTCTGTCCAAATCTAACGTAAAGTGGAGCCCACTCTTAAACTACTGAAATATATATGACATATGGATCATGGGAGAACTCCATCTTTTCCCCCCTCCCATAGACAGTCTGATGTGCCCAGTACGAAGAAGTGGCGCCCATCAAATATAAATAGGCTGCACTACGTTCACATGATCTACATGAGTTTGCAAGATGCAAAAACAGCTCTGGAATTATCCTTCGGAGCTTCCCCACTTGATCTTGAGCTGCTTCAAATGCTACAGGACGAGTTAAGCTTCCCTTTCCTTTACTTGTGAAGAGTCATATGGACTGACATGAAAAGTAGAGCTGCTATACTGTGGTCTCCTCTGTGTTTGATGCAAGACTTACATATCATCATCAACACAAGGAGGAAGACAGTACTCATTGTTAACGACAGGGATGCCAGTGAGACTTAGCCAAAGCAATAAATGCATGCAAAGGGTGTGTTATGTGAATTACTGCGCAAATGAGGGATGATAGCAGTAAGGGGTGGTGAGGTGGGGTTAAGAGATCATCACTGACGGTACATTAGGAGACAAAAGGGAGGAATTCAGCCGCTGCTCCATTTGTCCTTCCCAAGTTTTAGTACAGTCACTTCATACTCTCTTCTCGCTGTTCCTCCCCAGATAATGATGAAAAAAGTACTGCAGCCTAAACAATGCCATTTATGTGAATCTACTCTCTCTCTCTCTCCCTCTCCCTCCTTGTTTTATCTCCCTTGTGTGAATTTGCTAGCTCTTGCGTGTTAGGCATATCAAGCTGCACCAAACCTCAAAGTCAGTAAAGCATGGCCACTTTTTACACCTTAAAGTTGTTTGCAGTCTTAATCAACCTAACATGCTCTCACCAAAAATAGGTGTCTCAGAGAAGAATGCACTGTTCCCTCTGAGAAAAGGTGTCACTGCACCTAATAACATAATATTCTGCTTGTATACCAAATATATTTTAGTTGTCTTTCCTAAAATAAATCTTATTGTTATTTAACTTTCATAGTATTTTTAAATTTCTGAAGCCAATAAATTGAAGTATATAAAAACTTCTATATGGAAATATTTCTAAAAATTAAATATTTAATTATTCTATAAATATCATATATGCATGTCTACAAGTCTTAGTGAGAGAGAATGTATGAAGATACTTTAAATATTCTTAAATCTAGTATATTTAGAGAGAGTGAAAAAATGATATTAAATTTTCGAGATGTTCGATGAGGGTTGTGCCTCTGCTGAGATTATGCCATGGAAACTTATAGATTAATCATGTATTTGGATCACGTAAATCTTGTGTTCTTGATCTTTTCCAAATCCTTCGTATTCGATGTTAGGGATAATACCATGCATAGGTAGTAAGTATAGATGGGGAAGAAAAACGTCCATATAACATCGTTAGGTCTGCTGCACTTCTTAGTGACTTCTGGACGGTATGGTATGAATCCCTGTGATGGACTTCAACCTGATTCTGTCACCATTAATTTGACATTCTACTGTCAGTCACAGTCATCTATTTCTTGCTTAGATGAAGATTCAGATTACAGTCACCATATTCCGCATGCTAACCAATGCGGGCATTGAAGATGCAGAAGTCAAAGTTTCAAGCTATGTATCTGCCTTTCTCACTGCCTTCAAATTCCGACGAAGGAATGAAGAATTTGTCCTTCTTTTCTTTGGCTAGCATCAAAGATCACTTGTGCTCTTCATCAGATTTCAGATTAGTGAACACACCAAAGAAATTAAGAGAGATTAGACTGTCTTTTTGGTTAGGCAGCCAAGACCTAATTTCTTGTTATCTTCTTCTTTGTTCTCCACCGGAACGGGCATACTTAAGCATCTCCGTCTATATAAGAACCCTCTAACTTCGACCTTGTCAAGCTCAAGCTTTAGCAGGACGAGGAGGAGGAGGAAAAGGAATCGACATGAGGTTTACCTGGATGTTATTCTTAGCTCTAAGCAACTGTTTCTTCTGCAGCATTGTGAGTGCTAAGCCTGCAAAGGCGCACTGTAAGAACCCTTACTTTTGGAGATGCTACGGAGTCCCCCACACCTGTCCTCCTGGATGTCCTAAATTCTGCCAAGTAGATTGCAAGATCTGCAAACCATATTGTGGTAAGCTTTTCTCTTCTCATATCTGTTACTGTTAGCGCAAATGCACAGTTCATCTTAGAACCTTGGCAGCTTGTGACAAGCCCGGAGCGGTATGCCAAGACCCTCGCTTCATCGGCGGGGACGGCATCATGTTCTACTTCCACGGAAGGAAGGACAAGGACTTCTGCCTTGTCTCCGACGCCGGCATCCACATCAACGGCCACTTCATCGGGAAGAACAACCGCAAGGGGAGGGACTTCACCTGGGTCCAGTCCATCGGGGTCCTCTTCGGCCGGCACCGGCTGTTCGTCTGCGCGAGGAAGGTCTCACGGTGGCACGCATTCGACGACAACATCCACATCCAACTCGACGGAGCAGACGTCGAGATCCCGTCGGGAGAGGGCGCGGTCTGGGAGTCTCGAGGAGCAGGGTTGACGATCGAACGCGTTGCGGCGGAGAACGACGTGGTGGTGGAAGTTACGGGTCTCGTGGAGATAAGAGCGAGGGTGGTGCCGATCACCGCAGAGGAATCGAGGGTGCACGGGTACGACATAGCTGAGGACGACGACTGCTTTGCTCATCTGGAGCTCAGCTTCAAGCTGAGCTCGCCGAGTGCTTCACTGCATGGGATCCTGGGACAGACCTATGCTCCGGACTACCGCAGCCGAGTCAAGATCGGCGCTGCAATGCCGATCATGGGCGGCGAGAAAAAGTTCTCGTCGTCCCATCTGTTTGCCACGGACTGTGCTGTCTCAAGGTTCGGAACGGAAGGAGAAGAAGAAGGCAATGAACTGAAGACAGCGAACGTTGCAAAGTCGCAGTAGGAAAGGATAGGTTGGATTCTTACGGTGTATAATAGTCCCAAGATTGCAGTAAATAAGGGACAAAGGTGTTTGACCTAAATCATTAATCAAAATATTTAAGTTAAAATTTATAATAATTTATTAATAAGATATTTATAATTTAATTTTAATCTTATTCAGGACTAATTGAGAGTGATACGTGAAGATAATAATAATAATAGTAATAATAAAATAAATAAATAAATCAGAATGAGATGATCATAAACAGTAAAAAAATATCAATAGTAAAAATATGGGTCTAAATAATAACCTGCGACTTAAACTAATTATCCGAATCGTCTTCTTTATCGTCGTCATCGAGACCACGTTCTTCCATGGCATCTGCCTTTCCCTTCCTCCTCCTTCCCAATGTCCCCAGTCCCAAAATGCCCCCGCCATCCTCTCTCCAATTCCCCAAACCCCGCCCCCTCTCCCTCCCCTTCCGCTGCTTTGCCGCCGCCGCGCCCGCCTTCGACCTCCGCGGCTACTGGATGTCCTTGATCTCCGAGATCGAGGCAGATCTCGACTCCGCCGTCCCGATCCGCTACCCGGAGAGCGTCCACAAGGCCATGCGCCACTCGGTCCTCTCCGGCGGCGGAAAGCGCGCGCCGCCTATCATGTGCATCGCCGCCTGCGAGCTCGTCGGCGGCCACCGCTCTGCTGCTTTCCCCGCTGCCTGCGCCCTCGAGATGATCCACGCCGCTTCGCTCGTCCACGATGACCTACCCTGCATGGACGCCGCCCCGCTCCGCCGCGGCCGCCCCTCCACCCACGCCCTCTTCGGGGTCGACATGGCCGTCCTCGCCGGCGACGCCCTCTTCCCCCTCGCCTACCAGCACATCGTCGCCCGTACCCCGTCGCCCGACCTAGTGTCCCATGTTGCCGTCCTCCGCGTCCTTGCCGAGATCGCCCGCGCCGTCGGGTCCACCGGCATGGCCGCCGGCCAGTTCCTCGACCTATCCTGCGCCTCCTGCGGAGGCGAGGAGGAGGTCGTCATCGTCCTGGAGAAGAAATTCGGCGAGATGGCCGAGTGCTCCGCGGTGTGCGGGGGGCTGCTGGGCAGCGCTAGTGATGAGGAACTGGAGGCGCTGAGGCGGTACGGCCGGACGATGGGGGTGCTGTACCAACTGGTGGACGACGTGCTGATGGAGTCGAACGGAGGGGCGGGGAAGATGAGGAGCAATGCGAGCGTGGTCACGGCACTGGGGATGGAGAGGGCATTGAAGATGGTGGAGGAGTTCAAGACGAAGGCCAAGCAGGAGCTGGAGAGGTTTGGGGACAAGTACGGGGACAAGGTGCAGCCTTTGTCTAGTTTTGTAGATTATGCTGTGGAGAGGGGTTTCTTGGTCGATAGCAGTGCCAATGTGGCTGTGAACAGCAAAGCTTCTTGCTAGGATGCTGAATTCAGCCCAATTGTAGTGGAACAAAAGCTCATTCAGTGAGTCCTTTCACATTCTGATCTATTTGTATGCTTGAACGAAGCCTCATTGTTGAATTCTTATCAACTTCAGTGGAAAAAAGCTCCTTTTGTATGTTCTTTTATAATCTGATTTGTTTGCATAGTCGAATGAAGCCTCGTTGTTGAATTCTGCTCTACTTTAGTGGAACAAAAGCTCATTTTGAGTCCTTTTATATTCTCATCATTATGCATAAATAAATGAATCTTCATTGTGTGAATTCTGCCAAAATTTGTAGGTCCTATATTCTGATCTATATGCAGAAATGAACAAATTCTTATTGTCTGAATTCCACCAAGTTTCAGTGGAGTAAAAGATCATTTGGTGATCCCTTTTACTTTAGAGTGAAGCCTCAGTGTATTATGATCGAAGGTCTTCAATGCTTTGTAGCTAAGTGTTAAACTATGCCCAATCGTTTGGGTCCGTCAAACTGTGCCATGCATCTGGTTATGAAACTCTTTTCACTAATGGAAACACTGTAGCAAATACAATAGCCATTAGTTTTAGATTTCTTAATAACAAATGTATGTTCAGCACCATCTAAAAATGCTGCAATTCTTGTGATATTTTTTCAACCTTTTTAATGATTAGGTCAGTGATTTAAAAAACGCTAGGTGCTAAAAGATACTAAGGTCCCAAAATGCCTGAGGCACTAGACGCTCGTCCGAACGAAGTGAGACGCTCTAAAATCTTAAAATATAAAAAATAATATAATTAATAAAGGGATAAAAAAATATCACTGATAGTGAAATCGATAGTAGACAGTGGGAAGAGAAGCAGCGGTGAGAAGTTGGTAGCAGTGGCGGAGGATTAGTCTAAGACAACTGTGGTAGCATTGCGAACGACAGCAGCGGCAGGGGATAACAGTAGCGGACAACAACGACAGTGGACAGCAGTGGGAGAATGACAATCGGCGACAGAGGAAGATTGCGGTGGAGGTAGCGATAGAAAGCGTCCACGACGGAGGCAGTGAGAGAAAACGCTAGGGTTGGCTCGAGGTTGCGCGGGCGTGAAGGGCAGCTTTTGAGGTAAGAAATTGCTTTAGTTTGGTTCAATCAATCCAACTAACTGCTATTGAACCGAACCAGACTTAAAAAGTCTGGTTTGATTGCCTTATATGAATCGGGCGCTTACTTGAAGTGCTCGACGCTTGGGCTCAAGCGAGCGCCAGGCTGTCACGACCTTAGCTGGTTTTGCCTAAGTCGTGCGGCACCCTCGCGCGTCCGTCCGCAAAGGTCAGCCTCCCCGAAGCCTCCCATTGTCCCTTAGGACCACCAAAAGAGAGAACGGGTTAGAGAGAACGCCTTAATCGGGATCCACAAGCAAACATGTCCGAAAAATACTTCATTGACAATGCAAATTACAAACAAACTTTACAAGCTCTGAACAGTGGCACAACAAAGGGTAAAATGGTCCATTACAGACCGAAAAGCTCTCGAGCGTGTCCACATGACACAACCTTTATTTACAAGCCTAAAGAGGCCACCAACCCAACTAAAATTGGACTACTAAGCCTTCGGCCGCCCCTCTACATTCTGTACAAGGCAAGAACATGCCAAGAGACACGGACATACATGAGCATTATATCAAACATCTTGTTTAGAAGTTTGTCCGTGACAAGGCGGTGCCTCATTGAGGTGCATCGCCTGGTCTGCACATGAGGCGCTCGGGCCTCACCTCATCTCTCTTGAGCGCCTATTTAAATCATTGGATCAGGTATCTGTAGCTTTGTTTGAATAGGCTTTAGACCATATTGTTGTCCTTTGCGAAAAAATCTTGGTCAAGATTGGGCAAATAGAGTTAGGAAGAAGAGGCACGTTATAATGACTAGTCATATTTCAAATCTAGAGTCTTAGTGAAGTCAGGTTCCTTGATAGAGTTTTGTGATTGTTCAGTATATTTCTCACATAGACATATTAATATATTATGATTTATCTGCATATACATGGTTTTAATGTTTTAAGAAGCTAAAACCTTATTTTGTCCTTTGACTAGATTAATTGGATTGTAGGTTTTAATGTTTTAATGTATGCATACAATCTTGTAGTTCATGATTATCATGTATGTAGAGAAGTGCAAAAAAAAAGCCCAACATCTACTAGAAAGAGACATATTTGCTTCAAAGGTTTTAATAGTAGATTGTTAGGATTGATATGTATTTTAGGAGTCTTGATTCTATTCAAACTATTTGGATTAGGGATCCAAGTAGGAAGAGAAGTCTTTAGAGAATTAAGATTTGTTTTTGTGAATATATCATGAGTTTCGAGGTTTTGGTGAGAGAGAAGCACAGAGAACTAAATTTTAGATGCTCATTGGGGAGAGCGGTTTAAGTGAGAGGATGTATAAGGGTTTCATTCTTGGATTTGAGATAACTTAAAGAGAGAGTTTTCATTGTATCTAGTTTTTCTTATAGAAAATTTAATATTTTTCATAGACGTAGGCAGGGTGTGCCAAACCACATTAAATCTTGCATTCGCGTTTTGCTATGTTTTATTGATCTCTGGGTTCTGAGATTCTCTTTTGGTTTCAAGCTCTTTTCTCGCTCTCAACAATGATGGAAAGTTGATCAAAAGAGAGAATAAATTTTCAATATATGATGGAGGAGATTGGAAAAAGGGTGAACTGTGGGACAAGCTGACAAATCGATCAAGAAACATATTCATGATGTATTGCATTTTGTTAATATGAAGGCTGCGGAAGTCCATCACTTCCTCACAGATCAAGTGTTGGACACGAGGGACATTAACACCTTCTCCATATGCTTTCTCTTTCCCATGAGAAAGAGAGGAGACTACTGCTGCAACAGTAACAAAATCCAATCTTTCTTTGCTCTCTAATCCTCCTATTAAATGTCTTCTCTTTTCGTTTTCTGTATTTGTGTTACAGAAATGTGTTGGCAACTAATGCCGGTAAATTGGCTTGAGCAGGTTGATCGATGGCGGAGTTAGAGCGTTGCCGCCTGTTTCTTGGCGTCTATCAGTTGTGAACCTTCTCTAGTTGCATGGAAAAGACACTATTAACGGTGGGCATTTGTCATAATGCTTCAATAGGTCTTAACACAAGTCATTATGTTCTGAGTCTGTATGATGGAATTACTGATAAACCTGATTCATGCATTGTTTTTTTGGTCACAACTGTGGTGCTGTAGATTGATGTACACAGTATATGTTGATCTTTTGTTCTTTGTTGATGTTAGAATCAGAGCTGTCAGTAGAACTAAGAAGGTTTTGTTGATCTCTGTCAAAGTCTGCTTCAATCCAAAGGTGTGATTTGTGTTGTATGCAGTCTCAGAAACTGATCATTTATTCGTAGCTTTTCTAATCCCTCGTTTTATTCGAGTAGCAGATTAATGGGTTTTGCTGTCTTTTCTCACGCAGGAAACACGTTTTTTATTCTGCCAAAAGAATTGTGGCCCCCTTTTGCCATTGCGGATGTGTGGCGTCATTTTAAGGAACCGTGTTCCCTGTTTCAGCCAAAACAGGTGATGTGCACCTAGTAGTTTCCAGGTTCCAACGCCTCGCGATAAATCTCTCTATATGCGTGGCCACGAGATGTCGACGGAACGGAGCGCCGTGTCTCGTGTCGCAACGCCGCCGTTCATCGCCTACGCTGCGAGAGCGTCGCCGGGGAAGCATCCATGGCTTCTACTTGCTTCTTCCGCTTATCCCTCCCTCTGCCCCTCTTTCCTCTCCTAACGAGGTAAAAGATTTCGCTGTGTTTTCACCTTATCGGCGGTTGACGCGTTACGGCATTTCATCGAACGCCTTTGTTGCAGAAATGTGCCGATGGTGGCAATCCATTCTTTTGCACCTTACCGGTCTATGCATCGGCATTTGCTATCCAGTGCCATGATTCCGCGACCAAATCATTTGAGGTGTTCTGATCAAACGAACGGTTTTTGGTTCCGAGATGTTGTGGTTCTTGCTTTGTTGTGACAATCGTTGTAAATGGATTTTGCAGTTGCATTAGGTCGATGTCATCCAATGCGAGTGCTGAAGAAGCCGGCGTGCCGAGATCTGTCCCCGTGGCCGTCGCCCATGAGCTCCTCGAAGCGGGACATCGCTACCTCGATGTCAGGTTGGTTACAGTACACCTTGTAAGGCGCTGCAATGACTCCGTTTGGATATGGTAGAAATTTGAGATTGGTTTAATAAATTTCTTTTGGATTTCAATGGATTTGTAGGACGGAAGGGGAATTCAGTAGCGGGCATGCAGTGGGAGCTGTTAACATTCCTTACATGTTCAAGTCTAACTCAGGTAACAAATCATTAGACTGAAATCTTAATCCTCTTGCATTGGCTCTGATTTTTTTTGTCAATTTCCATTCATTGTTCTTTTTATTTACTTCAAACTTTTTATGTACTTTTTCGTAATCTAGTTGATGAGGAATGGTGGATCTGACCTAGTCCGTGTCCTTATGCCGAACTAAGCATCATCTTAGAACTGAGTTAATCTGAGTGGCATACTAAAATTGGGAAGTGACATTGAATTCGGAGGTCAGATTTGCAAGAAGACAGAAGGGCCTTCAATGCTTAAGTTAGAACTGGAGAAGTGTCATAAATGTGCAGTGGGAGAAAGAAAGTTGAAGTGTGTGAATGGAGCTGAAGGAAAGAGAAATTATAAGCACCATTGATCATACAACTCATTAATGTTACGAGATGGGCTTACAATGGTTTGATTGGGGTGACACTATTGGTCGACTTTGATGATGATGTGGCTCATTAATGCTGTTGTTAAATGCTATGTTGGGAGGGAATTAGTAGGTTACGTAGTCACCAAATATAAATTGAGTGAGCAGAAAAATCGGACAAGAAAAAAGACACAAAACAAACACAAATGATTTAACATGGTTCTGATTATGACAAAAACATCGTTCCTGCATCCACGGGGAGAAGGAAATCCCAATAAAGAACTTGAACCCTACAACGATAGGGGAGTCATAACACGGTGACGATCTCTCCAGGAGAAAAATCCAAAACAAGCTTACCTAAATACAACAAAAACAAGAAGTAACAAAAATTACAGAAATACTCCTGTTGACCAATATTTGACCAATGTGGACCAGAGTCAATGGTCAACTTCTTCCTCCTCTCTACGGTTGCTGTCAGAGCATAGTGGCAAGCTGACGGAGGACTCATCAGAGAAGAATCATTGATGTCTTGGTTGGATTTGTGTTGGAGTGGGAGATCTCTCACATCTTTGTTCTTCCTTCCCAATCTTTCTACTATTCCCCAAAGCTCTATTCATGGGAACGAGCGAAGGTGGAGGGAGAGCAACATGCAGGCGGCGGGCAGTTGTGATGAGCAGCACGCGGGTGGTTGCGATTGTGGTGATTGCAACGAGCAGCACGTGGGTGGTTGCGGTTGTGGAGACCGCAGCGAGGATGCAGTGAGTGTCGCGTGCGACGAGGATTGTAGCTGTGAGCGCAGGCGGTGCGTGGGTTGCGGTGAGGACAGCAGGCAACACAGGTGGGTTGTTATGTGCGGCTGCGGTGAGCGGTGTAGGCCCATGGGTAGGCAGTGAGCGATGAGAAGTGCGATATGAAATGCCCAGTGTGAGGATAACAGTGCGTTGTGTGAGTGAAGACACGCATGCAGCCGTGGGGCACTCGATGAGGAAGGCAGCGGTGGCATGAGGGTGATACGTGTGAGGGTTTCTCACGCGGGTTGAACTGGTTTGGTTCACCTTTGGCTAAGCCCGACTTTGACTCAATTTGAGTCAGTTCTCACAAATTCTCCTCCTTGATGAAAAATGGGTGTTGGTTTAGCTCAGAAACTTTATCTTCTCTTCTCCCAAAAATGCCCCAATGGGCATTAAACTGAAGCTTGATGCAGGTTGACCACATTCAAGCAGTGCTTAAATTTCGCCAAAGGAAGTGGCTTTGTTAGCATGTCCACTCGGTTATGAGCTGAATCAATTTTGTAAAGAAGAACATCCTTTTTAGTGATTACTTCACTAATAAAATGATACTTGACGTCGATATGTTTGGTTCTGTCATGGTACATCTGATCCTTGAATAGAAAAATCATGCTTTAACTGTCGTTGTGCACGATGACATCTGCTTTCTGATTTGTAAATTTTTTTACCAAATTTCCCAGCCAAATTTCTTCCTTTATTTCTTTAGTTATCGCTATGTATTCTGCCTTGGTGGTTGAAAGCACAATAGTAATATTGGAGCTTGGTTTTCCAAATCACTGTGGTCCCTTCTATAGTGAAGACATAAGTGGTAATGGATCTCCTTTTGTTGAGATCCCCAGCATAATCAAAATTTGAAAAACCTACAAACGAGACATTAGTTTCTCCAAATACTAAACAATTCTTTTGGGTTCCTAAAAGGTACTGAAGAACCCATTCAACAGCTTCCCAGTGAGCTCTTTTGAGGTTTTCCATGTATCGGCTCACTATGCTGACAACATGAGCAAGATCAAGGCGCGCACAGACCATGGCATACATTAGATTGCCCACTGCACTTGCATAAGGAACCTTTTTTATTTCTTTTGTTTCTTTCTCGTCTTGGGGACACAAGGACTCTGACAATCGAAAGTGTGCGGCCAGTGGAGTGCCAAATTATTCCACTACTTTCTTTATGTACGTCTCTTAGGATAAGTATAGCTTCCTGACAGATCTGTTACGACGAATCTCCATGCCAAGAATTCTTTTCACTGCTCCCAAGTCCTTCATTTCAAACTCGTCCTTAAGCAGATACTTAAGCTTGTCTATTTTAGACTTGTCTATTACAACTACAACATATCATTAATGTAAAACAATAGATATTCTATGAAATTGCTTGCCCTTTTTAGATATACGCAGCTATCATAAAGTGATCTATTGTATCCAGAATTAAGCATAAACTGATTAAATCATTTATACCATTGCCTTGGAGCAAACATGGTTTTCCTTCCCTTTTTCCTTAAACCCTTATGGCTGCTCCATGTAGATCTCTTCTATTAAGTCTCTATGAAGAAATGCTATCTTCACATCTCTTCTTAAAGAGCCACTTGCACCTAAACAACTTCTTGTTAGGTGGGGGCTTCACTAATTCCCAATTATGATATTTTAATAGTGATCGAGACTCCTTTGTCATCACTTGATGCCACTTCTTCAAGTTTGGACTATCAAGAGTCTCCTTGTATGAAGTTAGCTCTTCTGTGCTCTATAACTCCTCAACAACAATGAGTGCGTAGGTGATGATGTTTGCGTGCTTTGGGTTTGGATGTGGTTTGCCACGTAGCCGGCCAAGGGCAATGTTATAAGGGCACTCCTTCTTGACCGGTTGTGGTTCCTCCTCCTTTATACCATCTTCTTCGATGACGATGCCCATATTCTTTAGATTCATGATTATGGTTGGGAAGACACTAATGTACTGGTACACTGAGGTTCCTTATGTCATTCGTAATAGAAACAACCTCTACTTGAGGGTCATCTTCCCTGTGAGGGTTTTGTCCTGATATAGGGCTGCTAATTTGCCCCAGACATTTTCTATTGTTTGTTCTACGATAGCCTCCCACAGTGCTTCATTGGATATACACATGAATAAGGTTGCCATGGCACTTTGATCAACTTCTACTTTCTCTTCATCAGTGCCTGTCATTTTCTCTTTCCCAATGAGTGTGTTCTGAAGTTTCTCCTTTGTTAAGATAGCCTTCATCTTCACTATCCACAAAGAGTAGTTGACGTTTTGATCCAATTTTTTAATCTCATATCTCGTGCCGACCATTAAAGGTTGGTAACTTGGTAATCTGGCTCTGATATCACTTGTTGGGTGGGAATTAGTAGGTAGTAGTCACGAGATATAGATCGAGTTGGTGAAAAAATCGAACAACAAAAAAAACACAAAACAAACATAAGCGATTGAACATGGTTCAGATTATGACACAAATGTTGTTCCTACATCCACAGGGAGAAGAAAGTCTCAATAAAGAACTTGAACCGTACAACGATAGGGGAGTCACAGAACGATGATGTTCTCTCCTGGAGAAAAACCCAAAACAAACTTGCCAAAATACAACAAAAACAAGAAGTAACAGAAATTGTAGAAATACCCGTATTGACCAAGATTTGACCCATGTTGACCAGAGTCAATGGTCAACTTCTTCCTCTTTGCGGTTGCTGCCAAGTGCATAATGGCAGGCCAGCGAAGGACTCGCCAAAGAAGAAGCTTTGACGTCTTGGTTGGATTTGGGCTAGAGTGAAAGATCTCTCATATCTTCTCTTTTCTTCCTCCGCAATCTTTTTGCCATCCCCTAAAACTCCATTTACAGGAGTGAGGGAAGGTGGAGGGCAAGCAACACGTGGGTGGGTGCGGTGAGCAGCACGCGGGTGGGTTGCGGCTACGGTGATTGCGGCGATGAAAACTATAGCGGGGAGCATCATGGGTGGCGAGCAGTTGCACATGGGTGGCTGCAGTGAGTGCTGTGGGCAAGCACACTCGCATGTGACAAAGGCTGCACCTGTGGGCACAGGTGGCGGCGTGGGCTGTAGTGATGACCACAGGCAACATAGGCGGGCGATTGTGTACAACTGCGGCGAGCCACGCGAGACCACAGGCAGGCGGCAAACGGCGAGGGTGGCTACCGCGATAGGAGCACGATGTGTAACACCCCGCATGAGGGTGCTGGTGCACCGTGTGAATGCAAGCACACACGCAGCAATGGGGGCTGCTCGGTGAGGAAGGCAGCGGTGGCGTAAGGGTGATACACACGAGGGTTTCTCACGTGGGTTGAACTGGTTCGGTTCACCTCTGGCTGAGCCCAACTTTGATTCAATTTGAGTCAGTTCCCACATACTAACATATGTCGAGCTCAGGTTAGCTGGTTGAGTGAGCCCTTCAAGTTATTCTCCATCGATTTCTATGATAAAATCTTTTAGGTTTCCCCTCAGGCTGTTCAGTGATACTGCATAAACGAACACATAATTACTTGCATTTTGTCAGTATGCTTTAATGTGATTGCACAAACACTAGCAAACAACCATCTTGGAACAGCTCAGTATTTATTCTTTGCAAGAGAACATGAGGATATAAATCTAAGAAAGTTCTCTTTTGTATACAAGCTGCATTGTCCGTGGAAAAGCTTGACCGATAATAGTTGATCGAACAACCTGACTTCAGAACTTTCAACTAGTTACTTTTTGTCTCCTGAGTCATTTTTGTTAGTTCCCGCAGAAGTTTTAGTGAATTTTAGGTTCTGGGAGAAACACAATTAGAACAGTCATCCACCAATGATCTCCTCCCAGTACATATTAACTGACAAATTGACTTGACACTTTTCTAAGTCATTATACCCTTTTCTGTTAGTTGACCTAATAAGAAACTTCATATTATTCCTAAACACTTCTTTTGTATCTCATTGTTTCTGTTTTATCTTATCTAACAATTGATATACTCTCACATCTGGATACAGGAATGTCAAAGAACCCAAACTTTATGCAGGAAGTGTTATCAACTTTCAAAAAGGATGATGAGATAATTGTTGTGCGTTGTCTTACCTTCACCTTTATTAGATCCTAGATTTTAATCAAAACCCATTCTTCTGATCTTCCCATCTTATTATGTTATCTTGTTTCTGGCAGGGTTGTTTAAGTGGAAAACGGTCATCTATGGCTGCAACTGAACTTTCAAATGCTGTAAGTAGTTCATGATATGCTTCTAATTGTATTGAAGAAATTTACCAAGTTCCATTGTTGGACATACAAATCCATGGGAGTCAGGGACGGTATCTCGGTACTAGTGTGGCTGTTATCCAAAAGGACCAGCTAGAAACAGGATTAGTTTCTTGCGATGACATGATCACCACAAATTCTCTAATATTTGCAGTTGATGCTTTGATGTTAGCACCATAGTTTTTTGCATTTACTTTACAACCATATTAACCATAGATGCATTTTTGCAGGGTTTTACTGGCATCACAGATATTTCTGGTGGTTATTCAGCATGGGTGGAGAATGGACTTCCAACAGAGAAATAACTGAATCAGAATGGCCAATGTGCTTCCAACTAATAGATGTGAGGTATGGCTGCAACGTGAACGAGGATAATGCTTCTATGAGAAGGTTTAATCTGCATGAGACACTGCATCCTTGCATTGTTTGGGATCTAAAACCTCTGTCCCTAATTAATTATTCCTCATGGCTTTGGATTGCTTTTGTTATCCTACCAGCAACTCAATCAATCAAGTTAAATATGCTCTTCGACATCACTGTTTTTGGATCAAACACCATAAAATATTTTGTTCTTGTGAAGATATTTGGCATGTTTGTTAGAGCTGAATCGGATTAGAAGTATCCATAAATTTCCTTGGATTGACCTTGAAACATGAGCTCCATCATTTGCTGATGCTTTACATGGATTAATTTCTAATGGTGTTGAATATTTGTTATGAGTATTTAGATATCTGTTTGTATATATTTCTGACATATTACCAGCTTCCACCCAGTCGTGCGATGCACGCAAGTTTGTGGTGCAGTGCACTTGGGTCAGCCATGCATGTCAGTCTGCGTCCTTCATCCCACCACGTTCTTGCGATCTTTGCCATCACATAAAGAGGAAAAGACCACCAAATCTCTTTCTGTCTCTACCAACCCTGCCATGACATGTGAGCACATCTCTTTATCCCTTTCACGGCTGACTCTACCACTATACAAACCTCCCTTTACTTCAACAAGAGGCCACCTCCGGAAGGCAAGAACAATGGCCAGAGCTTGGCGATGGCTCGGCGCCGCCCGTCGAGCGCTGGCGAGGTCCTCGTGCACCAACGCCACCGATCTCGATGCCATCAGGAACACCACCACCACCATCTACAACCCCATGACAGCACCAGCAGCAGCAGAAGGAGAAGCCGAGGTTTCTGTGAGCAAGAACTCCAGCTATCACCCCAGGGAAGACGAGACTGTGGCGTACCGGGATGCGTTCTCCAGGGAGGACCTCGCGGCGATCACGATCCAAGCCTGCTTCAGGGGCCATCTGGTGCGTGAACTCTTTGCCCTTTGCGTGTATGTCTTGTTTGGGTTGCAGTGGTTATCATCATCATCATCAGCAGCAGCAGCATGCGCCCCTCATCGTGCTTGGTTGTTGTGGTGGTGGTGGTGGTGGGCAGGCGCGGCGAGCGTTTCGGGCGCTGAGGAGCCTGGTGAGGCTGCAGGCCGTGGTGCGGGGCGCGTGCGTGCGGCGGCAGGCGCGGATCGCCATCCACTGCATGCAGGCTCTCGTGCGGTTGCAGGTGCGGGTGCGGGCGAGGCAGCTACTGGATGGATCAGGAGAGGTTGGCTCATCGATGAAGAACTTAAAACTCCATTGATCGACTTCTCCCTCTGCTTTTGATCTTTTTGACCAAGTTAACACATATGCTACGAGGTTCTTCTTCTATTTCTGTTCTTTGTGTTTGACTTTCTTCCTATCTTATTCTTTTGTGACAGCAGAGTGTCTTGATGCATCTTTAACATTCTTTTTTTGTTGCTTCGGAGATCATACAATTGCTTATTCTGTACTTGTTTCTATTTTTTTTTTGTGGGTGGGGGTTGGGGAGATGATTCTGGAGAAGAATCTACTCATCTTCACATCAATTTACTGCTCAACCTAAAATTAAGTTCATAGAAATCAAATCTAAAAAGAAGAGATGATCAACACCACACCACATAAGATTCAACAACAGGAACCATTGTATTTAAGATAAGATAAGATGATCACAGAGTCTGTCACTCGCAACTCTAACTAAGATGGACAAAGCTGTCGAGGACGCAATGGAACATATTCTATATGTTCTCATTTGTCGGATCAGTCAAAAAAGTCTACGAGTCACAGCATGACAGTGTGTGACCTAAACTAGTCTAGCAATTGAAGGTCGCCCAGGTAGACGGCAGCCGTGCGGAGTTGGCAGTCGGCATGTTGCGCACATTCAGATCAACAGGAAGCAAGCGATACTCGATATCAAGCTCTCTTAGAACTTTGATCATCTCCTGGAGCACAAGCTCTCTTCGCGTCCACTTCTCCCCCATGTCTTGGAAGTTAATCCGATGCCTCATCCAGATCGAGACTCTCAGCCTGTTCATGTCGTCTACATCCCTGAGAACCACCGAGGGATTTGGGTACCAGTGTTCCGTCTTGTTCTCCATGTACCTGCAATGGTTGGACGACAAGTAAGCTTCTCTTCTGTATGAAATCAACTTCTCAAGTCGGGAGGTTAACTTTCTCACCCTATAATTCTCTCTCTCATTACGGCAATCTTTTCCACCGGAGTTGCAACGTGAACACAAAAGTCGATCGATTCTCCCATGTCTGGACTCCGGTAGAAATTGCCGATCGGTAGAGTGGCCAACAAGGAATTCGGATATGTGATCTTCTGGTTGTCGTACCTCAAGAAAACTGTTGTCAGGATATTCATCTCCTCTACGATCATCTGAAACAGTAGAGACATGAAGTTAGATTGACCACTGCTAATTTATGTAGATAACATGATTACCTCTGTCGAGTTCTTTCTCTTGTATGTACCTGAACTCCATCCACTTCGCAGCGATCGCCAACATCATAAGGGTGCACCACGAATAAGAATATAATAGCTTCGAAGATCATCTTCAAAGTGTTACCAAAAATAAAAACTGCTACCAAAATCTGAGAGCTGAGAAGAACGAAGAAATGGGTGGTGGCAATTCCCAGGATCAGAAGCCAGAGACCGATCACGATAATTCCGACCACAATATTCGCCATCTGATGGAGTTTATTCACCGCTGTTTTTGTGTCGTTCAGTGTCAAAGAAAGAGCTCTGCGCTCCCTAAACGCATTGATCTGCAGCGGACGAATCAAATTCGCATTCGACTATGCTTCTCTTGGAAAACAAAAGAAAAAATGAGGAGATCATTACCACCCAGTTCTTGAGAGACTTCCTGTTGACCCTATTTTTTTCTTGTGCTCCCTCGAACAAGCTCATCGTCTTTATAGCTTCATCCTCATTCATGAAACGCATTAAATCTACCAAGTAGATATACCTACAGAATCTCAAAGCATTCAGTTGATCGGCCGCATCCATGATCGACAGTACGTTTGCATTAGCCGTACAACCCGATGACGGAGACAGAAGAGGTTCTGATTTACCGGCCACCAAGTTATTAACAGAGGAGTTCTCATCTATAGAGATAAAATGCCATTGTACATCTTGCCTACAGGTGCTATGCATTCTCGATGGTTTTTGGGTTAGGAGATGTTAATTGTTCTTGATTCCACCTCAGGTACTGCATACATGCCACCGGTGAGAAATCATGGATTTCGAGGCTTAGACTATATGACTATCGACTGTAATCCTCTCCAGGAAACAGGGCGATTAATTAAACATAGAGATAACAGGTTCCAGCAAGAACAATGATAGTATGCAATTCGTCGAACACCTTGAGAAGCACAAGGAGACTTACTTGGCACCAGGCCTGGCGACATTCTTGAAGATGTTTCTGGCCGCAGCCTTGGCCTCGTACTCGCTGCGTATCTGCATCAGGGAATCATCGTCCCCGCTCCCCTGCAGCGCCTGCTCATCTAGCGTCGTCAGAGTCCCACGCCGCACGATCCTCACCAGCTTTTTCATCCTCCAAGCAGATATGTTCTTGGGGTTGAGCTTGTGCAGCTCGTCGATCGTGATCCCTTCCTCCTGGTGCTTGACACCCGTGACCTTGACACTTCTGCCCATCCGCGCGCTGCTCCTCTGAATAGGTCCGCTTCCGATCACCCTGCCGCTCCTGTTGGTAAGTGCTGCTGCCTGGAGCTCTTTGGAGATTCGGGCGCCTGCGTTCTGTAGCTTTTGCACCTCGGCCATCATCCGGTCCTCGTCGTCCCTGATGTTCTGGATCTCAATCAGCGGCGGACCGGAGAGCGTCTCGATCACGTACTGATTGAACAGAGACTCCTGGATGCGGTCGAAGTAGGTGCTCACGTGGAAGGAGGAGGCGAGGACCTTGACGAGCAGAGTCTTGACGAGCCGGAACCCGGTGGCGATGAGGAGACAGAACAGGACCTTGGTGACGTAAGGCGGGACGTTGCTCGTGGTCCGGCGCTTCATCTTGTTGTCGAACATGCATTGCCACGAGAGGAGGACGAGGCCGAGCCAGAGGCAGTTCTGGACGGGCTTCCGGAGGCTGTAGACGAAGTAGAGCACGCGCTTGCGGAGGAGGAAGTTGCCCTCGATGCCCAAGACGATTAACCGGATGAACCAGCCGGAGACGAGGCGGCCGCAGATGAGAACGAAGAGGAGGAGGAGCCACCTCCAGAGGTGGAGGTCCAACAGCGTCATGCGCTTCAGGTGATGCAGGGCAAGGCTACAGGCGAGCGCGGCGATGATGAGGAAGAGACTCAGCCACTGGAGGACGGTGATCCAGCTGAAGTCGGCCCGCTTGAACTGCTCGGGGATGTCGTCGTCCATGAACGGGTCCTCATCGTCCTCGTCCAGCCGCAGCGACTTGCTGAGGAACCCGGACTTGATCGGCCCCGACCGGAGCTGGCCCGACTTCGGGAACATCCCCGACTTCGGGATCTCGTCATTGCCGGCAGCCGAGGGCGTTCCCGTCGGCGGAGGCACCGGGTCCATCAGTCTCGAGCGCGTCTTGGCGTGGAGCATGGTGGAGTTACGGCAGATGGAAGCGTTGGAGGTGCACCGTAGCACCTCGGCACCATCGCCTTCGTCATGTCCGAGGCTCGGGCTCGCAGAAGGCTTTCGTCGGCGGAGATTGGCGCCGTCGTCATCTTCATCGTCATCGTCATCGTTGGAGGAGGACCGGTAGAGGTGGGTCTCGGCGGAGGGGGCTTGGAAGGAGACGCGGAGCTCCTTGGAGCCGGAGATGGAGGAGGGGGAGGAGGACTGCTTCTTGAGTTCCTCCATGTCCAGGTCGATGTCGAGGGTCAGCTCGGCGCCGGAGGCCCGCTGGTTGCAGAGAAAGGTTCTGATCAGCCGCGACGGCGGGTCCTCGGCGCTCTCCGCCTCGGGGTTCTTGAAGCTGAACCCTCCAGAGTTGTTACCTCCTCCTCGTGCTGCTGCTGTGTGGCCGTCGCTGCCATCTTCGTTCCAGAACTCGTAGCTGGAGTCCCTCCACACCCTGATACCGTCGCTGTTGCTACTGCTGCGGTCGGGGAGGGGGGAGTGCTGGTCGAATATGCCAGCGTCATGGCTGTTACCGTCGATCTTGACGACGACCTCGCCATGGTGGTCGCTATCGTCGTTGTCAAGAAGGATAGGCCGCTCCTCCAGCTCGTAGGAGAAGGTGCGGGAAGAGGTGTACTTGTGGGAGCCATGGGACTTGAAGGATCGACTCAGAGAATCCATGGAGGAGGGAAGACGGGCGGAGGTGGAGGAGGGAAGGAGAAGCTGAACTTAGAGACATAGAAGGGGAAGGGGGTTCAGGAAGGCACCAAGTGTAGGAAGGGTGCCAACGGAGAGATTTAGAACGTAGAAAACGGGACGTCAGAGTTTCGTCACCAAACCAAATCATAATACACGTGTGTGTATATATATGTATATATATGGGCACTATAATTGGAACGGCGACTGCGGGGGCTGAGCAGCACCGACCGAGGTGGAGACGTGCACGGCGGAGGATGGAAGCGCAGATAGCGATGCGAGGGCGGCAGCGTTCCCGGCTCGGTTTCCTCGCGTCGCAAGTCAAAGGCGGGGGGAACAGGTGTCGTGGTTTTCGGATTCACCGGTGCCTCGTTATGCTACACGACCGGTCCACCCTCTGTTTATTTATTATTATTGCGGTAAATGGTGGATGAGAGCAAAGCGAATTTGGAGTCCAACAAGCTCGGAGAAGAGCTCCGAGAAAGGAAGCGATCCGAATCAAATTCTTTTCTCTCTATATTGTCAAAGGAATAGCGATCATTTCATTAGCGATCATTTCATTGCAAATAACATTTTTCAGTTGACTAAACCAATGCACATGTTTTATTCAGAAAAATAGTATTTGCCGCTGTTGATTTCTTGATAAATATCCATCCTATGCTTTGAGGGGAATAATCATATCCATATAAGAGAAATTTTATTATAAAAAAGGATGCATGATTTTGTTATCATTCCGTCTTTTTCGTCTAATTCTATAGGTTGGGGTTATATAGTTAAAACAAACCAAGATCATTTGCTTGTTGATAAAGCCATTTAATCTCAGAGGAGTATGAGAATCAATGACTCATAAATCCGTCGGATTTTTCTTACCCTCAAAATCTTTTTTTGGAGTTCACATGTTTCGAAAGGGTAAAACCATACGAATACGCTCATTGTCTAAAATGGACAATCCCTTACGAGCCTACGGGCCACATCAATGGCCGACCGATAAAAGAGTGCTTTGACACCCTTAGAATTGGCATGATAACATAATAAGGTTGGCCAAGGAGGTCAAAGTTATCGATTATTAACATATACTTTGAGATCTTAACGATTCAACACATAAATTAACTAATGGGGGAAGGATGACTGACCATGTAACCATCTGAAAATGTTATTCTAACGAGCATATACTGCCTTTTTACTTTATTTTCTCTGACATATCGACTGAAGCAGTCCCAAGTGTGGGTTGTGCTAATCTGCAAAGATGACTGGAATCCTCATTAACGTGTGTTATCATTTTGCTATTTTTCATGGGATCATACTTTTTTTAACGATAGAATGAATCAAGATTTTCGAATAATGAGATTGAATCCAATCCTGACCCTTCCATGGACTCCTAGTGACCAATCCTAGAACAAACCAGGAAACTTTGCTCGTAATGCTTCACTGCCGACCTTTGATTTGGCTCCAAAACTATAGGATGGTGTGGATCAAGGCAAATCTTGATGTTAACCCTTTTGTGCATGTGCATGTGTGATTTTGATACATGCTGCAGCCAATCTTACTCGAAGAAAACACATGCATGCATGCATGCATGTTTGATCTGAACTCAACTCATGGTGAGGTGTTTTATGAATAGCAGTTGATCGACAAGCAGTAGAGCAGTAAACGTAGCATTCAAGGTGGGTTGTTCACATTCTTCTTCCTTGTAGCCGTCACAGCTATTTACTTGGTCCAGTGTTGCAAATGGTAGCACTACTGCTCCCAGGTTTGCTCTTCTCCTTAGTTTCTCTTCGACCTCAAGAAATATTAAGCTGTCTATATATAACGCTAACCCTTTAATTAGATGACCAAATATATAGAATATTGATGTCATTGAAGCTTTCACATGAAATAGTTCGCCATCACTTTGTGGTGGATGTAAAGGTACATACATCTTGAAGAAGAGCATGCTACTGTTCCTACACATCAATCAACCAAACTGTACAGTCAAAAGATAAAATGGTCCACCAATAACATGCAAATAAATGATATGAATCTTTTGTCATATTCTGCATGCAAATTAAACATCAGAATCGAAACTGTAGAAACCTTTTTTACTCAGGTGCTGACTGAGGAAATCCCTCGTTTAGTGATCCCAGTTGCATGTCTAAGTGCTCAATAGGTTATTCTCTCCTATTTTAGTGGAAGATATCTCAGCTATTCAAGTTCCTATGCATCGTTATGCTCAATAGTACTAAAAGTACTTACAAATTCTTGAAAGGAAACTACAGAACCCCTATTGACAGTATGTGGTTAATATCAGTTGTACTATTCGAACCACTGCTTAATCCATTATTATTGTTAGATGTAATTTTGTTAAGGTTTCCTCTTCTGTTCTTGTTGAATGTCTATCTATTTTTTACTGAGTTTCAGAAACTATTTAGAGAGACTTTAAAGATATGAATATGACATCTTTGGCCAAAAGTATAAATGTAATCTCTCAGTCATTACTCGGGACACCAACCCAAAAGTTCACATATTGATCTGCTAAAAGAGTTGCAGTCCTGCAAGAAATAAATCCGAACCATGCAATGTGCTTAGATTGTAAGATAGCACCTCGAATATATTATTAATAAGCCAAAAGGATCCAATATGGGGAACAGTCTTCGCCTACCCTAAAATCTCATCTCGCATTGTTTGTGATGGTAGGTCATGGATGCCTAATCGACAACGTATATCGTAGTTGACTTGATAAAAACTCGAAGCAATGGAATGAAACGAAGAGGAGATCGAGAGACTAATATGCCATGCAAATGTTCAGTTATATATTTACCTCTGGTACTTCAAGGTCTGCTTTGGTGCAATCCAGCTTCGAGGTCACCCACAGCTTTCACGGTGGCCAATCACTGCAACCAGTCGAGTGTGGAAAAGGGGGAAGATAGCAGTCACTCTTGACTCGCTTGCAAGGAGAAGGAGTTAAATGGATGAAAGAGTACTAAGATATTGGCACGGCTCAATCAGAAAAAAGGTCTGAAGACATTCCTTGCAGTGCCTTTGTAGTGAACTCCGAGTGAACCGAGCCAACATCACAGTAACTATTTCAAGGTGATTTATCATTGCTTCTGCTGTAGAGAAGCACAAGCCAAAGGAAAGAAGCAAGAAGATAAGAGATATGTGGAGAATACAACAATCTCCCTTCTGCGGAGAAGTGGAATGGCTACATACATAGAGAGGATGCAGCGAGAGGAAAAGAGATGGGTTGAGAGAGTGGTTGTGGAGCAAGGGAATGTCTTGGAATTTAAGGAGGTTGAAGGCGTGGGGTTGGCATTTAAAGCTCCCGACAACCAAAGGAGAAGGGCACGCTGCAGCATTAATAGTAAACCTCATCCTCTCTCTCTGGTATTATTTACATAATGGATGTGTAATGAGAACCGGGAGGTTCTTCTTAGTCTTTTTTATCTGCACAAGAACTTCCAAATGGTACATAAGTTGTCACTCCGCCAACAGCTTTTTAGATTTAGCTTCTTCAGACAATAATGGCTGCCTTACGACCAACGAAGGCAGCAGCATGTGTATGTGTGTCTGTGACTTTTCGAGAGAGGGTGGTAAATTTGTTGCTCCTCCGTAGAAGCACAGCAGCTGCATCACGTTATGATTCATCTGCATGTAGATACACAAATGAGTGATGTGGAATGGCATGGCTACATCACGTAATGCTGCGTCCACTATACAGGAGATCAAATAAATGACCACCTCTTCCATCAATGAACGAAAAGACCTACAAAAGCAGCTCTAGTTACTCATGTCGTCAAATCTCAAACAGTGCAAACCAAGAAAGCGGGGAGAGAGAGCGAGAGAGAGAGAGAGGGTAGACTGATGCATCACAAGTATGCTGCATAACGTACACAGAAAATTCAATGAATGACTGAATACCTCTTCCACCGAAACAACGTGAAGTGAAGTTACTCATGCTTGCAGCTTCCAACGGAGAAGACAAGGAAAGAGACAAAGGCGCGGAATGGCAGTAGGGAAGTAAAGGAGGAGGCATGGGTTTGGGAAGAGGAGTGACTTACAGGGAATCGGTGTCTGACGCGCCACATAATTGCGAGCATCCATGCGTACAAATGCCCCCCATCTTGTCAAACTTATTGTCTTTGCCATGTGGAAGTGACATGGAGCTTCTCTCTTTCTCTCCATCACTTGGGCACATTTAATCGCTTCCACCCTTTTCCTCCCGCGTTGGATCGGCTGCTCTACTGTAGCTGTGAGCAGGATGACTGAGGTACTGTGCACTGTCCAAGCAGCCATTGGGAAGAATTTTATGCCTACCTATTTACATCACTTATGCCGATGTAATCATCTAATTTCCAATTGATCACAAGATAGATACGTTTTAAGGAATAACGTAATGTAACTGATGAGGGTGATAATTATAAGACTTGCGTAACACCCGCTGACGCCCCGTGTCTCTGTCGAGCTGACAGCACGTGGCTAACACGGGCCATAACGCCGATCGAGGCCCATTAATGATCGCTCAGACTCGATTCCTTATGACACGCCAACAGCGATGCTATACGTCATCAGAAACACGTGGCTGACACGGGCCATAACACCGATCGAGGCCCATTAACGATCGCTCAGGCTCGATTCCTCACGACACGCCAACAGCAATATCAGACATCATTAGAAGGTACGATCCTGCCTCCCGCGAGCAGGCACGTCAGGTAACACCAAACTCCCCTATAAATACCCTTACGTCGTAAACGGAAGGGAGGGGGAATATACACACAAAAACACTTCTTCATCTGAAACCCTCTTCACATCTGCTAATTTAATCATCGGAGGGGTCGGGTTGAGCATCCCGACTTGACCTGTGTGCAGGGACGAAGACGAGACGCCTCTCTCCGGACGCATTGGCAAGGAGCCCATTCCTGAAGGAAACGACGACCCGTCATCTGGATCCAAATCAAGCCGCGTCGGCCCCGAGGCCACGGTTAAAAAGTTGTTTACACCAACATTAACTTTAAACGCATTGGGTGGATTAGACACGTCAGCGCATTCCAAGAAGTGATGTCTTGGTCTACGCCCACTAATGCGGATAAATTCAACTCCAAATCGAATCCTCCCGTCGCGCCCGCTTCGAGAACCGGTTCGCCTCTCGCACCACAAGCCGAGGAAGGGCACGAGAGCCTTCGCCGTACGTTTCGGCGCCGTGAGGTCTCCGCTTCCGTCCTCGCTTCTCGGTTCGTCCTTTACCCTTTCCCCCTTTTTCTTTTCTTGATCGATGGTGATTTCTCGTACGAATTGGTTGGTTGGGTTTCTTGTTCCCGCAAGATCGCCTTGATTCCTTTTTCTCGGATTGTGGTTTCCTAGTTGGTAAAGATGTTTTCTTGTGAGGGATGAACGCTTCTCTTTCGTCCTTTCGGATAGATCGTGGGTCTCCCTGTATGTAATTTTACTTGGGCTCGATCAAATCAACATCAGATTAGATCGGAAGACGTCGATTTTGGTTCGTCACGAGTCACTCCTTTTAGGTAGAGAGGTCGGCCGTAGACGACATTGGTAGAATGTGAGGGTTCGGAGGAATGATATACGATAATTTTGTTCATGTCATTGCAGTGACAGATGACTTGTTTTCAGATTGCCATTTGATTCTTTCGATAACCAGCCTCTATGATCCACCGATTCCTTTTCAAATGCTAGTGTCCCATCTCAATCAAGAATTTTTAGCTGTTCTTCAAATTTCCTACATCAAAAAAAAGAAGAAGAAGAGAATTTCTATATATATTTGAATTTGGTCTTTTTGGATACATCTCGAAAACGCTTATGACAATGTGGCAGAAGTAAATGTTCAGAGGTATTATAGCCCCTTCTTTTTGAGGTTGGTTGGGTTGGGTTGGAGTGTTACATCTGGAGAATATAATCAAGTAATTAAATAATCTTTTCATGCCAGTTGGATGATCTCCTCAGTGCCTTCCCTTCTTAAATAATCTTTTGCATCATTTGAAGTTCTATCTATCTCTTTCTTTAATGTATTATTTAGTTTGTTCTCGAATATTATCATTTGGAGGCGTTGCCCGAGAGAAAAGGACGAACCGAGAAGCGAAAATAGAAAAAGGGGGATATTTGCAAAGATGTGATTGATGTTGAAATTGACATTATTATCTTTTATCGATATTTGCAAAGACATTCTTATATATTTTTTTATTTTCACCAAGATATTTTTAAATTATTTTTTTCGTTCTATCCATAACCTCATAAATATGTCTTATTATTATTTTTTTAATTATCTACAAGCTGAAAAACTCAAATAAAAAAGCTCATTACTTTTAATGCATAAATCATAGGATTCCAAAATGATGACATCATGATAATATCACTTACCCTTTTATCTCGGGTTTTTTTGCTCATTTTTTTTATCACCTTTGAGTTAAATATATCTCTGTTTTTACTTGTGAATACTTTATAATATCAGGAATAAGTTGATAAATTATGTATATTCTCTCATCATGTTTAAAGTCCCAATATGATCATATATAAAAAGATTACCTTATCTAATGTCATATCTGTAATCTTTTTAATATTCTATAACATAAGATCAATACAATGTATTATGTATAAAGTCTAATATAAATACAACTAGTAATTTTCTTAAAAAAAAGAAAAATAAAATTGATAATTATTTGAAAACATAAAAATAACATAATTAAAATGTTCAAAAGAATAATCATATAAACTAAAATATAGTTACTTCTATATTCTATTATCACATGAATCACATTTTGCTCTCTAATTTTCGAGGGGTGTAGAGCCTTTCTTATTTACATGAATACTTCTATATGAGAAGTGTTCAAAGGAGTAAATTTTCGTCAAGGATGGATCTAGTCTCTCATTGGTCTTTACTTTTGAGGCTACTCAAGGTGATTCGATCGAGTCGTCGTTTCCTCGTTTGCTATTTTCTTCAACTCAACCCAATTTTTTTTCCCAACAATGATGGATCCATCAGCCATGATGTGCCAATTGACCTCTTGTAGCAACTCTATGTAAATGACCAAATGTTAGGTGGTAACTAACTAGAAGAACTTGGACGGTTAATGAGGTTGTACGACTTGGGTTTGATGCCATCCTCACCTCATCATTAAACCTCTTCATATAACGTGCTAATGTCTCCATGTCTTCTTAGTATATGGCTAGAAGAGAAGTCATAGGCTTCTTTGAGAGTATGTAATTGATAAACTTGAAGTTCAAATTCCTTAGTCAACTACTTGAATGAAGATATTGATTCGGAAGGCAGCTTATCGAACCATTCCCTTATTGATCCTCGCATAGTAGTCGGGAAGGTTTGACACATGAGAGATTTGGTCATCCAGTATAATATGTCATCATAAAGGTAAATGTTGTCACATACTCCAAAGGATCCAAGTTTTCATCATAAAGATCGAGCATAGGTAAGCAGAATCCTTGTGGGATGGACCCTTCCATAATGTTTCTGATGAAAGGGGACCATAAGTGTTGGTTAGCTCAGATTTCTTTGCCTGTCTAATTTCTTTTTTGATGTCCTCTTGCCACTAGTCTATCTAAAGAGATGGATTCAGATGTTAGGGGGATCGACTCCCTCTATGCCACAGGCTTTGGTGGAGGATTTAGATGTGGTTTGTAAGGATTTTGGGGTGAATACGCCTCTCGTGGCTCATTGATATGAGATTGGGATTCGGCCATAAGGCTTAAGGTTGGAGCAAGTGGAGGAATAGGGATAGGGAAAGGTGGAGTAAATGGAGTTTGTGGTACCTATTGTGCCGTATGGGCTTATTGGGAAAGGGGACTACAATCTAAACTATCTCTATCAAGACTTGCACATGATGAGTTAGATTATGGAGTGTCTCAACAAGGACAACTATAGTAGGAGTTGGTTGTTAGGTGAGTGGTAGTGTGTTAGATGTTGAAAAGGTAATAAAAGGTTGAGGGTTTAAAATTTTGGAAGGTAGTATTCGGTGTCGTCGGCTCGATGGTCGGGCCAAGAATGCTCAGGCCTAGGAGGGCTAGAGTAAGGAGGTTCAAAACCGATAGGTTTGGATCCTCCTGATTCACTCAAGATGGATCAACAAAGTTTCCCTAAGAAGGCCCTTATTCTAGCTTCAAATTATTAAATCATATTTTGATTGTTTATCTCAGTCCTTCTCGATTTGTCTCAATTCTTCTGTTCATATGTCAAATCTGGACATTGAGAAGGCTCTCCTTCTGTCTCAGTCCGATCTCGATTTGTGATTAGTTCATCCAATTTTAAATATGCTAAATCCTATAGAATTGAATCGGGGCATTCCTGACAAATACCCCTTTGATGCTTAAGTTAGTTTAAGATTTGGAGGGTTCGCAAAGAGCTCTAAGGTTGTGTTTAAGAGACTCTTAGGATCGTTATACCTATGATCGATGCTTGTTATGGGGAGCAATTACACGTTTCTCCCGACCTTGATTGTGGTCGTGCTATGTCAAGCTTGACGGTGCTTAACAATTTGACCAATTCGACCATGTGACCTTGAGGTATTAGAAATGCATCGTCCACTTGGGTTCAAGGTATCAGAGATGCATCGTCCATGTGGCGTTGGGCGCCGAGCATGCATTGTCCACGTGGGTCTTAGGTATTGGGCTAGTGTCGGCCACATATCAGTCACGTGGTGTCGAGGTGTTGGTCATGTTATCATTCCCATATCGATAGTAATTTTTACTTTGATGTTGTGTTAAGTTTTTGATTTATGGTTACCTCATTTAATATTATGTTAAAATTTCAAATTAGATAAGTCTAAAATGGATTAGTTAAGACTTAACATATATGAGATTCAAAATCAACATAACCCAAAGATTAAATAAAATAGATCATGAATCGAATCCTACTCGTATCCCTGCAGATGCTTAAATAATATTTTCGCAATAAACTTCCATTGATCTTTATTTTTTTTTTTTCTTACACAGGGGTAGTTTAATATAGATCAAGTAGTTTTCTAACCTATTAAACATTTTGGATTTATGATGATCCGATTAAAAATATTTATCAGGCATGGTAATCAACACGAGGACGTAAACACCGGAGAAGCCGGCGACTCTGCTCCAGGATGGCTGGCGTCACCGACGAGTGCAACAAAACGTACGCCAGGATGGCCACGCGTTTATGCGGCGGCGTCCCGCTAACGAATCAACGACAACATCGCATCTCGGCCGTAACATCTGTTGTGCATATAAATGTCTGTATATAGATTCACGCAAGGAGTCGGTGGGTTTGAAATCCCTGTTTCGGTCCGTCATGATTCGGCAGCTCGCCTGTACTCCCATGTCATGTGTCCGCTTGGTCAATGGTGTTCTCTCTCTTGCGGCATCGACCGCATGAGCAAAGCCGTATGTACTTTCTGTCTTGCGTCGATGGAGGCTAATCAGAATCTTTCATGGAACTCAAATGACAAGCCTAAGTTTCAATCTTTGGTTCAGAAACGATATCCAAAGATTTCTCACTCCCCACTATTCTTACTGCGCATTAGATTCTTTCCAACCCCAACCTAAATTTTGTCTGTACCGCCGAAAATTCTCCAGATTGGCTATCGAATCAGCCATGGGATTGGAGAAAGAACATGATTGGAACAGTCAACTCCGGTGCATGTGATGTAGGGTCTCCAAACATGCTAAAAATCTGTATTCAAACGACCGAACTCCCACTTCTTTATTCGAGCTTCGATGCGTATGAAGAAAACCCTGAGGTTTGCTCGGGACATACGAGCAGACACCTGTGTTTGAGCTGGCTTCATCTTTATATAAGCGCAGAAGCCGCTCCGTCAAAGCCTACACGATGTGTTGCGTTGGTTGGCTGCTGAACGAGGAGGATATGGCTGAAACGAAGACGGAGAGGGAGGCCGAGTCGCCCATGAAGAGCAGAGGCCTGTCGAGGTGCCCCAGGATTATGGTGGAGAAGAGCCTCAGGGCCGCGGAAGCCGTCGAGCAAGCTCGGGACGACGACAACGGAGTCGTCCGCGTCAAGATCGTCGTCACCAAGAGGCAGCTGAGGCAGATGGTGGCGTCGATGGGCCAAGGCCCGTGCAACGCCGCCGGTCCCCAGGCCGCAACGGCGGTGGCGGCGGCGTCGAACCTGGAGCTGCTGCTGCACGTCCTTCGTCGACGGCATATGAAGCGAGCCGAGACGGGGAAGGGGAAGCGGCACGGCGGCGGGCGGTGGCGGCCGGCGCTCAAGAGCATTCCTGAGGACATCATTCAAGACTAATGGAAAGCCCTTCATCGTCTTCTTCGTGAGCTTGATCTATACATGTATAGCTGTTTGATTTCTGCTGCTTTCTTTAGCTTTACGGCCCAGCGGCGGCCATTCTGACCATTGCTGTTGCGCGTTTACTTCATGTAAAAGAAGATTACAAGCAAGTTTTGAATATTTTACTAATACATCATAAAGAAAGAAAGAAAGAACATAAAAGGATCATTGGATCGGGAGGAACATAATGAGTGAGTACATAAGACACACAAGAAATATCGCGGATGGATGTCTGATAGAGTTGACCGTCAACAGGAAGGGGACAGCTTGCAGACGGAGGTGAGATGCGAGAGAGTGCCGAATGGGGGAGAAATTCTTGGGCGGATCCATCACATCGATTATCGGATCCTTTCAATCAAAATATAGAAAGTCAACCATCTCTGATCTTTTCTTTTGAATTTTTCAAGGTTTTTGGACTTTATTAAATTCAGAGAAATTTGTTTATTATTATTATTATTATTTTTTATTACTACTAAACGTATTTTCTTGAATAATTTCTTCTGTAGGTAAACATGATCGAAATCAGCATCATCATCATCATCATCATCATCATCATCATCATCATCACGTCTCTTTTACAGATAATTATCCACACGTGAACCCTGTGATAGTTGCATGTTCCACTCTCAGTTATTTTCCTCTATTTTCCGTTCCGTTCTTAAAACGTAGGACAAAGTCTCCCACTTGGGAACAAAGTCTCCCATTTGATGGCTATGTATGCATGTATATTAACCTACACAATGTAAGGGGTGCAAGTTAGCTTGTTAGCAACTACCAATCATTAGGTCACGAATCATTGATGAAAGAGAAGAGCTTACAGTTGTTATGTTTTTCTGTAGTTTAAGCACTAGTGGAACACCGAATATAGATCACTTAGAAGAACCTCAACGATTGGAGATTCCTCGACGATCCAGAATCACACAATTATTGTGTGCAACAATATCAGACTGCGACAACCAAGCTGCTGCGACAACAACACATTGCTCCCAACGTTATACTGTGACACCATCATTTGTTTTACAGTTAGCATCTACCACAGGTTATCTTTAAATTGGAAAAGGTACGAGAAAATATTTGTGCAGAAGTGGGGACTGAATTTACTGGTCAAAGTTTGGCTGCTTGGAAGAAAAACATTGGATCACATGGTTAGCTCGTCTGGGAGTGGAGTAGTAGGCTCTCCTAAAACCTTACCACCAACATCAGGAAAGGTTTCTTTGCCGGGCAATGGCTCCACTTTACCATCAGCATCAACACTAATAGGATACATGAGAAGATGGCCTTTCAATGGAATTATATCCTCGGCATTATATCGGCTCCAGTTCTCCTCAGCTAACTTGTTAACATACTTTACACAATCCAAACTGTGAGGCTCCTTAAAAAGTGGATCCACCCCACCAAGATGCTCAGCCCATAACGACATCCTGTATCCATAGATCTACAGCAGAGCAGGTCCAATTAGACCAAATAAGTGTGGTGCTACACTGCTGGACAATCAACAAATTACATTATTCTATGCAAAGGATGTTTTTCGTAGTTTCAATTTGCATCGTTGCAAAGTGATGCTAATCATACGGTAATATACTAGCTGAACCTACCAGAACCATAATGTTTTCTTCATTAAAGAACTCTTTAAGAAAACCAATATCTGAAATTTTTTTTTTTGATAAGCGCATTGATAAACATGCCAGAAATTTTGGTGCCTCATTGTGCATTTTTTTTCTAGATGGGTTTCTCTATCCCAAGAGGTTAAGACACAACTGATACTAATCATGTCAATTTGGACTGCAGAACAAGCTTACCGTACTTGCTCTTTTAAGAAAACCGATATCTGGCTTAGAATAACCTGGAGATGCTAGAGTAGGATGATCTGCAACATTCTTAGGATTTCAGGGGATCTTCACGAAACTAAGAATTATACTGATGTCACATGGCATGTTGAATGAGAAATTGAAGCATATTAATGGCATTTGAAAAAGGAAAACTTGTGTTGCTTATCTCAAAGATGACTGTATGACTGAAAGCCAACATGTTGGTCTCACGTGATGTGACAAAGCCATTAAAACCATGACTGTTGTAAAATGTATTAATAATATGATATCGATGCGGTCATCAAAAGGATTAGTATGGAACTTATTAAAAAAGATGGGGTCTATGCTTGTAAGGTTGTACCTTTCCTCATCTTTTCTCTCAGTTCTCTTAAAACTAGGGTAACTAATTCACATATGTTTGTGCCAAATTGTTGTTTACTCTTTACGCATCACAAGATTGTTCCTGTTTTTGCATATTTATTTGATTCATCATGTTAAATGAGCTGTAAGAATAGGGAAAAATAGTAAAAGGGTGTCACTAAGACTAACATATTTAATCTAAAACAATTGATAGGGTAATACTATCCCTCCTTCCCTTTGTTGGGATAGTATGACCCTTCCCAAAGACATGAGTGGCCTTGGCATTAAGCAAGGTCTGCCATACCGAAGCGTACCACCCGTATCGGGCGGTACGTACCGGTCCGACAGGTTACCGGTACGCGGATCGTTCGGTACCGCTACAGTGCTATACTGTAGCACTGCTATAGTATGAAAAAATATATAATTATTCGGTACACCCTGATGTACCGCCTGGTACACCGGTACCGTACCGTACCCGGGTCAAAACGCCGGTACGGTACGATATGGTGAACCTTGGCATTAAGGATCTCCTTTCGATCAAGAAAGTAATTTATGCCAAACAAATACTCCCTATCCTTCACCATAACAAAGTTTTTATTAGAGGGATATCTTCTTTTCGGATACTAACCTCTATCCCAAGGATATTCTTCCTACAAGCAAATCTTCAACCTCTTACTAATCGATCTCTAATCTTGCTTTCAATCTTAAGGACGGTGTTAGATGTCTTATTGGCAATGGCACCTCTACCATGATCTGGGATGACCCTTGGCTGAAAAAATATCCCTTTTAACAAATCCATCTTTATTAAAATGAATGAACTGAGGCACTATACTTTGGTTTATGATATTAACTCTAATTTTCAATGACAATCCTGTGCATTGGATTCTCTCTTCCACCCTATTTTGGCAGAAACGATAAGTAACATTCATATCCCTCACAACCCCAAGGTTGATACTTGGATCTGGTCTTTGATTCCTTTGGGTTTAACCACTGGAAGCAATGCATACTGCTATTATATAACTGACCCCTATTCCATAGATGAGCCTTGGATGAGATGGAAGACTATTTGACATCTTAAGGTTACTCCCAAGATCAAAATATTCCTTTGAAAACTGTTGGAATAAACTCCCCACCCGATTCTATATAAATCTAACATCAACCACTGCCAATTGGACTCTTGCTCTGCCATCTGTTTGTTGTTTCTTCTTTACACATCTTCCACGAATGCTCCTATGCCCATTCCTTTTGGAAACTTATTGAAGAAAGAGCTGGTTATGTTTTCCAATTCTTCTGGACTTGGGGATAAGGGAGACTGGCTCCTTGAAGGTTCCCCTTGGATTGTACCTCCTGTTCTGTCCTACTTAGTACCATCACTGCTTCCTTCTGGTTTCTTTGGATCAACTGGAATAATGTTAGGAACAACAACAATTCAATCAATCTGTTCATCGTCTCATCAATCTTTCTTCAAGTCCTGAGGAAAGTGTGAGGGAGTTAAGTGATGTCCCTAATGATATCCAGGGAAGTTCCCTTAATTATTCAAGTTGATGGCTCATTTGTTTCCCCTTTACTACCTACAGGCACTGGCTTCTTTGGATCAACCAGAACGATGCTAAACACAAGAACCATTCAATCAGGCCATCCATCCTCTCAACAAGAGCTTTAATTGCTGCTAATGACTTCATCAATCTTTCTCCAAGTTGTGAGGGAGTCAAGTGATGTTCCTGATGTCCCTGATGACAGCTAGGTAAGTTCCGCTTATATGCTTCAAGTTGATGGCTCATTTGTTTCCCCTTTCGCACCTGCAGGCACTGGTTTTCAACTTATAATGGCTGGTAACGAGTCACCTTGGATGGGGGGAAAATGCTGCAAGGCTTTGAGTTCACTAATGGTGGAAGCTTTGGCCCTGTTGGAAGCTCTAAAAGCAGTTCAGTTTCTCCAGCTTCCTATTATTGAGATCAACACTGACTCTATGGAGGTTGTCAACATTACCAAGGGAATTAATCCTATTCCCTGGTCCCCGCAAAATCCGCTTCCTTCTATTGAGATCAACACTGACTCTATGGAGGTTGTCAACATTACCAAGGGAATTAATCCTATTCCCTGGTCCCTGCAAAATCTGCTTCCTTCTATTGAGATCAACACTGACTCTATGGAGGTTGTCAACATTACCAAGGGAATTACTCCTATTCCTTGGTCCCTGCAAAATTTGTTTCTGGCCTTTTTTTCCCTTTTTGACTCACTACATGTAGTTGGAATCAAGCACATCCCAGGTCGGGCAATTTTGTAAGCCACTACCAGGCAAATTTTAGTGGATCACAGATCTCTAGGTTTTTTATTTCTGCTGTGGATCCGTTGGCAGCACAGTTTATTTAATAGGTTTAAAGCAATAGATTTTTTCTTTCTTTAAAAAAAAACATTTTTCTAAAGCGACACTTATTTTTTAAAATTGTAACAATGTTTCTTGTCATAGCTTTTTTTAATCATTTGATAAGTTTAGTATCTAAACTATACAATTCTCTGACACTTACGTTTTCTATATTTTCAGCCTAAGATCAATAAAAATCACAGCTAAAAGTTTTATAAAACAACACTTGTTTCTGAAATCGGAACAACATTTCTTGCTTTTTTCAGTTTTTAACCACTTTGATATGTTCAGTTTCTAAATCTTTTTGAATCTTTATGGCCAAAAAGTTGCTGAAACTCATTATAAAACCATTGAAACAGTAGAAACTATCAATATTGTAGCATCAAAGGATGTATTTAATACAAGCATGAAAGGAAAAAATAGTTATTAACCTGGCCCTGTGGATGTATTCTTTTTGACTCCCAGGTATAATAAGGTTGATATGCACCCATAGCAATTTCAGTATCTCTTGAACCATCCAGGGATCTTTGATTGATATTGGCGGATCCCAAAATCACATATTCATCATCTACTACCATCCCTTTTGCATGGACATAAATCATGAACCGACGATACTTTTCAGACGAAACCTAAAAATATTGAGATTACAAAATGGAAAGTGATCAAAATTTCATTATCAGAGAGAATATCTACCATTTTCTAATCATGATCAATAATAATTAAAATTTGCATGTCTACACTAGAAGGAAATCCTTGTTCTCAACATGTCTACTAAGATTATAGGTGATGTGTAACAGGATGTAAAAAGTGCACAGTAAGCAGTGATAGGCCATGTCGGTTTCAAGCCCATTACAAAAAGAAAACACATCAATATGAACAGTTACCAGTAAAACTTCTTAAAACTCTATTTATTAGAACACTGAACACCATAGGAACAGCTCATTGTCTTCTAAAGAGTTATCAAATGGAAGCTTATGGGATGTGTCATGCAGACTGTCCCATAATTAGTTCTAACTAAATTTTCGCTGAATCACATAAAGAGGTCAGAATTCAGTGATGTTCAACAAGCAAAGTAGTAGATATGAAGGAATACATTGAAGCTAAAATGGTGAAGAAAATCAAGACAACAAAGTTAAATTAAGGGTTTAGGCTAAAGAGATATATCAGAAAGCAGCATATATTTTCCTCCATGGTCCTGCATTAGTAGGAGCCTCATCCATGAGCCAACCTGTACGAATTCTGTGTAGGAACGAACATCTAGCGAGCAAAAATTGAAGGTAGACCATAGAGAAGATGAGATGCTCTGATCATTGTATACATAGATGAAAGTGATGTTCTTATAATTATTCTTTGGCTTCATCACTTCTTTTTAACTTTTCTGCCCTAATTTCTGAAGGGAAGTGGGGTTTAAATAAATGATGAGCAGAGAAGGGGGAAAAAGATAATAGAGAAAAAGAGGAGGAAAATAGAAAATGAGCAATGAATAAAAGAATCTGGACCCGGTTATCAGGCATCATAACTGGTTCAAAACTGAACCCTTGTATTTCTCCCAAACTTGAATTCAACCCAAGTTGACCTACATTTTCATCAGACCCCATAATTCTCTTTGATCAACTTGAACCCAAGCCAAATTAATCCAAATTATGATTCAAAGCAAGACAAGTGTGAAGCACTATTAGAATCTGCAGCAGAAGACATGAACCAATATCTTCAAGAAAAGGAGAAAAATACAACGAATCAAACAACTTTTCTTTCTTAACTAGTACTTAATTACCAGCGCTCGATTTCGGACAGTCAATTTGCAAAACAGGGCTTATCACCTGATTCAGACCCATTACCTAATCATTGGCATGCCCATCATACACACACACACACACACACACACACACACACACACACATATATATATATATATATATATATATATATATATATATATATATATATATATATGTATGTATGTATAACTTGTAATAACAACTTCATTGCAACACCCACCATATTGAAGATGTACATAATACATATACAAAAAACTTGGAGGCTGAAACTGATGACGACCACCTATGTAGATGGTTGCTCACATGAACTGCATGGACAAGCTTTGACTATACTGAACTTGCTACATGATTTTAAATGGACATGTTTTGACTAAACTGAACTTGCAGAAGATCCAATACAACATAGAGAAACTATATTGTTAAAAGCTAAGAAAATTAATAATTAGAACCTAGATTCTTAAACCTTTAAATCATTTATTGATGTCTCATGGCATGGGAGCTTCATCAAGACCTTTACGCAACAAAATTCCATGTTGTGCCAGTCTAAATACCAGTGTTAAGCTAAAAATTGGCACTGATCAGCATAAAGCATACGATGATAAGGTCCATTCTGATACATGTAGAAAAGCCTAGCAATCCTTTAAAAGGGAGACCCATAATGAAATCAAGAAAATTTATCATCCAATGAACTTCAAAAACACAATATAGATTCAGCTTTTCTTCAAAAGAAACCAGAAGATCAACATTTAATTTCCTAAAAGAATAACTTTGAAATGATTTCCAATGATCAAGTCCTTAGAATTTGAGCTAGAGAACCTTCTATGATGCCTCATCTGCTATCTCTGTGATCTCTTAGGGATTTTTTATTTTGATCTAGTTCCTTAACAAAAGCTAAAAAAGAGGAAGAATTGGATCAAGGAGTACCATGATTTGCCATCAAAAGGAAGGATGAGTTGATGGCTGTGCAGAAGAATGAGGAAAGACTAGGCTTCAACCAAGGGTCTTGTCTATTTGTTTTGCAAACAGTCCCTAGTGTATTGTTTGAAGGGGCTAGCCCAAGCAGCAAACTGGTTGAAGTCATTTTTTTCAAGAAATGGACCAAGAATAGAAGCAGGTACTCAGACCCAATTGCCAAGTAACTAGAAACAACATACCTCTATTGACACCAAGGTTTGCCGTACCGGACTGTACCGCCCGTACCGGGCGGTACGTACCGGTCCGACAGGCCAGCGGTACGCGGACCGCCCGTACCGTACCGAGTACTGTAGTAGTGTACAGTAACACTGTAGCAGTATACCGTACCGTACCGGTACCGAGCCTGGGTCGAAACGCCGGTACGGTACGGTACGGCGAACCTTGATTGACACTACCATGTAATAAAGCATATATAACATTTTATGCTTGCAAATTATAAGTTTATGGTGTCCGAACTATGATATCATTGTAGTATAATCATAGCGAACATGGGTACATTTATTATAAAACAATCAATAATGTCGAGAGCAATGGACGTACCATATCAAAATGGAGTTATTAGTACTTCAGTTGTCAGATCTGAGTTATTAGTACTTAAGTTGTCAGATCTTGATAAGACCAAGTAGCGAGCAATGATTCAGGCAGCTGAAACCAGAATGATAGAATTTAATATTTAATTAGATGATTTACATACTACCTCATTTGATACTTGGGTAGTTGAATGGATGGTATGATTCGGGAGTTCTCGTTTGCCAAGACAGTAAAAATTTAAGTACTCTTGCGGATGAGCCTTGTCATTGTTTGTTGATTTGAGCTCCTCTCCAATGATGCTATACATCATCTTCATTGTTTGGCCCTGGAATGTTAGGTCGATGTTAAGCAGATAACAAGAAAACATATCAAAAAAAAAAAAAGAATATACAAGAAAATAGATCAAAAAATGATTATGACTGAACCTATCCCAGCTAATGGCTCTGAATTTGGCATAACTGAGCCAAAATAACTCACAAAATATACAAATGTCATTGGCTAGATCAGTTTTTCTCCAATGGTTGGATATCAGAGTACATATCTGGATAATATTTTAAACAGGTAATGCAATAGGAGGAGGGCATTATTAGCTATAAACTTAGGGAGACATCCTTAGTTATTAACTTAGGAATTCTTTGTTATATACACAAAAAAAAGTAAAAGAAAGAATCTAGAAAGGTATAGTCAAACTTCTACTTATTAGCAGTAGTTTATCCCAAGGACTGTTGTACCAATTGAAATGGTACGAAACGGGTGGTACATACCGGTCCGAGCATAGGCCGGTATGTGGACCACCCCAGTTTCGAGTGGCCCAATTAAAATAATAAAAATCAGAAAAGTTGTGAGGTTCGTCCAACTCGACATTAAAAAAGAAAAATAAATCAAATTAGGGCTCGCGAATGCAAGCCCTCTTCTCGCGTACAATGTTGCTGCCATCGCTGCTGTCGCTGCCTCACCACTGCCACTATTCCTTCTTCTTCCCAAGTACGCTCCCACCTCTTCTCCTCCTCTTCTTCCTTCTTCTCCACTTCTCCTTCTTTGTCTTCCTCCACCCCTTTCTCTTCTCCCTCTTTTTCTTCCTCTCTGAAACACCGATACACACCAGTGTACCATGTGTTGGTACATTGGTACTGACTAGTATGCACCAGTTCAACAAGTCGTCGAAACTGGTCCAAAACCAAAACGATGAACTTTGGTTTACCTGCATGTAGTCTTTTTTATAATGTGCTAGCCAATTTCTTACTTCATTAGTTCTAGGACACCAAGCGAACTCCATCTAAGTTATTGGTCACAAAACTCAGAAAACGAGTCAAACTAGTATGTCCAGTTATTACCGATCCAACTCAGTCAGAGCATGTGGATCGGGTGGGATGGACTTGTTGGCCCCAACATTCAGAAAACCAGTCGAACCAGTATGAACCAACTAGTATTTAAAGATCCGATCTGGTTGCAACATGTTGTCACGAATGGTCATCGCGCACCCGCAACATCTTCACTCAATGAACCGTTCGTCGCTTTTGCATGCTTGAATAGATGCTTGGCAGTATATTTTGCCTTAGTTTTGTGTGTTTTTGCTTGAAATCTATAAGCAGAAATAGTTCGCAGTGCTACAGTGTGACCACTCACCGTTCCGAGCCAAAACTATCTAAAATGGCTCCGTTTTCGTGTACCACGACCCGTTTTCTGCAGACTACAGCTGCACGCAAAACGTCAGCCATCTTAGTACCCTAGAACCCTCTGGGTGACACCGAGGGGATGGGGCTTCGGGGTAGTGTCGGGCGTTACAATCTTCACAAGTTCGCACGTTAACTTGATGGGAACTTACCTTCACACCTGACACCCAGTGAGCAATCATTTATGAACTTGCGACTATTCGTTTTGCCTTCTAAAGTCTTTACTTTCTCATTCCTCTCTTTTTTCTCTTACACACCAAGTGTTTGCTGAATTGCTTGTACAGCTACTTTCTTTATGAGATGTCGAGACTTATCCGTCGCTCGCTTTCGAACTAATCAACTTACTCCTTTTATAGGTCCTTCGGGACCTGAGCAAGGATGCAAATTGGCTGACCCTTTGTTGACGCATAACGCGAGGGCATTCTATGACTTAGGCAATCCCAACTAAGTCCGAGAAATTAGTACAAGGGTGCTTCACGAATTAGACAACTTCAGCTAAGTCTGTGACTTTACCGCAATGATGCCTCACGACTTAGGTAATTCCAGCTAAGTTTGTGACAATGTAGCATTGTCACAAACCGTAATGAGATTTCTCTTAGGATTTCTCTTCAGCTAAGTCTGTGACTTTACCGCAACTATGCCTCACGACTTTACCGTAATGAGATTTCTCTTAGGATCTTAATGGCACTAAGAGGGGAGGTGAATTAATGCAATAGCATTTTTAATCAATTTTAAAACTCAATCGAAAAATCAACACATTTCGCGATTGATCAGGTTAGAGTAGCGAGTAAAGAGAATAAAACTAAGTTAAAAGTAAAGAGCAAGTATAGAGAAGTAAATCAATTTATAATGGTTCGATCTTTTCGACCTATGTCCACTCCCGATTCCTTTTCTCTCGATATCACTGGCTTTCACTATCGATCTTCTTTCTAACAGGTGAAGATCGACTATTCTTGTTACAACTTTCTTATTTTTCAGGCTTAGAAGATAACTTTCACACTCTCTTTTTACAAGAAATTTCCCACTTTCTAAAATTTAGAATTTCAGCCAAACTTAAAAGGAGACTCCAACTATATTCAAAATGAGAGTTTACAATATTTCACTAGCTCAAGAATGGATACACCATCAACTAAGTCTGAGTAGATATTTATAGACCCTAAAAGACTACATAAATGAAGTCAAAAATTTAAATCCCTGAATATTCGGAGTACGGGCGGCACTACCGTCGACATTGGGTGGTACTATCGTCGCAACTTTTGACAATCACAATTCTGGACTATAGTGGTACCACCATCATAATTTTTGAATTTTGGGTGATACTACCACCACCATAGGCGATACCATTGCCGGAAAAGCTGACAACAAATAGTGCTTGTCGGTTGGCTTAGGCAGTACTATCGCTTGGGTCTAGTGGTACCACTGCCCAGGCCTGATTTAGGCCACCAGTTTGACCTTCTACAGGGCTCAATTCAGCCCAACTTCAAGCTTAATGATTTCTTGCCAAGTGGACTTTGTTTCGGCCCAATACAAGCTCAAATTGACCTAAAATGATCTCGATCAAAACTTTGACAAATCGACCACACATTCAACACATTTATGAAGCTTTCGACACATTATATGCTTTTCCTACATGTCATCGAATCTTCCAGCACTTCGTCCGAACCTCTAGCACATCACCCTTTCCTTCGGCAAATAGCTCATTCCACCAACATGTCGACTTTCTCACGACATTTGATCTTTTGGCACAATATCCGATCCTTCCGGCATGATACCCGAACCTATAGCACAAAGTCTGATTTCCGGCACATCGACTAATCCTTCAACTCAACGTCCAATTTTTGACACGACAATTATCTTGACACAACGTTCGACTCTCCTGCTCGACAATTGGTCCTTCGAGGATCTGATTGTATGATCGAAATATTTTCCTACGTCACTTATCTTAAAAGCATATTAGTCCCACAAATACATTAATTGATTTCATCATCAAAATCAGGGATTCAACAATCTCTCCTTTTTTATGATGACAACTAACTGATGATAGAGTCTTAACTAGGCTCCCCCTGTCTATATGTCATCTTAAAAGTATGATGAACTTGAATTCAAAATAATAACCTTTCAATGCTAATATTGAATTCAAGTTGAAATAATTTGATCATAAATTCTAAAGATTTTCAATAGTAATCATTGTAAAAATCAGATGCATAATTTTAGTTAAAAAGCATCAAAGAGCATCATCATAAGTTAAAAACATCTTAAGTGAAAAACACCATAACATAATTTTTCTTGTTCAACATCAAAAGGTAAAGACAAACATAGTTGTTACTTCATCTAAAGGTAAAGACAATCATAGTTGCTACTTCTCCCCCTTTGTCATCAACAGAAAGGAGGAATATACAATCTACTTTGGTGCGGTAATCCAAAATACCTAAATAAGGTATGAAAGTATGCATCAAAAGTATAAAGACGTTGATGAATATACTGCATCTCAATCAAAATTTGGCCCCGACGAAGTACAAGATGATCCAATAGTGACGTTATAGAATTAGAAGATAAAGAAGGTACTAGATTTGCTAGAGGTCTCGCCTCAAGGGTACTAGTAGGAGGAGTTTTGGGCCTTTAAATTCCCTCATTCCGCCCTCATTCATTCACTTTGAGTCTCTCCTCCACTCTTTTATTCTCACTCTCTTTCTCATACTCACATACTCGCTTGTGACTAAAGTTCTTAACCAATGATCATTGGTAATCAAGATATTGATTTGTATAAAAAAAGGGATTAGAACTCGGATCTGATAGGAATTCTCTCCAATTTGAAGGTATCTAGCTTCTATGTATGTTTTATTTATCATTTCATATAATTAGAGATGTATTGATGCATATTTACAAAGATTAAGCATGATTATAGTCATCTTTTTGTGTTAGTCCCAATTAGGTGTTGTCTTACATTTAGGCTCAAATTGGGGGTATTAGAGTTAATCACAATCTTATGCATTTATTTATATCTCATATACAATCTATTCTTAATTAATATAATAAAATTATTATTAAATTAGGATTAAAACCTAAAAAAAGGAATTTTTGTAAAATTCTGACCATTTTTTAGCCTTTTTTTTAAGAACTGATACGTATCGACGTATTGACATATGGTATTCCACTGCTACCAATTGATACATACTGGTCCGCTCATGAACCAATACTACTAGTCGGCATGATACAACGGTCCTTACATAGGAGGCCACATTTTCCTTATGCTGTTCCAAATTTTCTACACACATCCTAGGCATATAGTCTCTCAATCACAAATGAAATCCCTTACTCTTCACAGTTCAGAATTCATATGTTGTCCACTTTGTCACTTTTAGTAGTCATTGAAGGGTTACTTTTCCCTCTTTTAACTTGCTTTCTCATAATTGGGCACATATATTAAGTAATAAGATCTTGGATATAACATTAACAAGATTCCCTGTGCTTCTATCGAATGGAAGCAAGTTTCAAAATAATGCATTTTGGTTCACATGATCTACGGTTTTCAAATAGTTGGAAAAAAAAATATTTTGAACAAATAATATCACTGTGCCACACTATCTTCCCTGCTTATACATTTTGTAATTTTTTTATAAATCCAAAAAGAAATTTTCAAGAAGAAGAAGAAATATCTAAAAGAGAGTTAATATGCAAGGCTGCAGACAAGTTCCCTTGAAATTTAACTTTATAATTTTACCTGCCAATAAAGGATCTCTTGAACGTAATTAGACGTAGGGACTCCCTCAGGCCACATTGGTATAACTATGTATACAGCAAACCTCTCTCCAGCTCTAATTTTGCTAGCAATCTTCAGTGCCAACTCCATTGGGATCAAATTGTCAGCTCCTGCTAATAGCAGAAAAGACTCTACTTCAGATAAATAGTGATCGATGACTATATTAATATGTGATTGATGACTATATCCAATTTACCAAAGCCCTTAGTTAAAACATTCTGCACATTCCAACAGTATGCAATACATAAAAAATATTCTGTCAATGGGTGAAGTAGAATGGTTCCATACCAGCATTGTCATAAGACAGCCAACCATAGGATGAACCAAGAAAATACTGGTTTTCAATGTATATGAAGTGGCGTGCAGACCTGATGGCTTTCACATATGCTGTATGGATGCTCTTGTCAATCACCAGATTTTTTGAACATACAAGATTCTGTGATATTAAGTTATAAAAGTGAATCAAATTTGCTGAGGAAATCTTTAAACTAATACCAAAAGCTGTAGTCATGCTTAAAATATTTGTTTACAGTGGCCTCTGAGCAACTGAAATTGTAAAAATAATATGTGAAGCTAAACATACCATAGATCCAGCTTCATCAACAGATTTAGGAAATCCTTTTACAGATCCAGAGTCAATAGACCGGAAGACCTGATGAAATAAATGAGTTAACTAAGATAAAAATATATATATAAGACAGTAAATTTTCTTAATGATTTTTATCAACCTGAACATGCCAGTTCTCACAATCTTCTTCACTGGTGACCCATATATTTGGATCACCATGTGCATTAGTGTGTGAAGGTGAAGGACTGAGTATCCATGAGATACGGTCTATCTTTATTAAAGCATCATCCTGCCAGCGGGTTACGTTTTTCAAATGCTTCCTAAATACATGAAATTGTGTTGCCTTCTTCCAACGCTGCTCAAAATTCTTAAGTACATCATAAGCAGCAGGCCCTTCAATTTTGCAATGTAGATCATGCCATGGTTCCCTTGGGCCCTTACTTTGTATCTGTACAAAATTAAGGACAGGAGTATAAACAAGCTAGTTGGAAAATCAGCATAAATAGGGCAAAGCTAATATTTCAATAAACTAGCTTGAAACTGAGTAACACATGGAACATTTAGAATCATTGCAAGTCAATAGATTTTGGAAGTACTAATGAAAATGTTAGACTGAATTAAGAAGAAGATCAGCACAAAAAATAAAATAAAACAAAAAATCAGCAAGAAATTTGCATGGGACTACTTCATCTTACATGCCAAAAGCTTGCTGCCAACAACCCTTAAAGATCCTCTTCCTCAAGAAGCTACAGCTGTTCAGTGCAAGTCAATGATGAGAGGGTAAGGTGATCTAGTCTTACATATATTTGAGCCAAGGGTTTAATTCTCGGTCAATACTGGTTTTAGGACAATGCATGTATGAGGCAATACACCAACATGTACCATCCAACATAACGCGAAAAATAATAAACAATAATACTGAAACAATACCATACCATATAGTCCAATATTGGCCCTTGGTCGGACTAGTAAATGACATGAACCATACAAACTGCTATTGAAGCCATAGTTTGAGCTTTAGTTTTTGTAACACTCCCAATTAGTCTCACATCGGAAGTGGGTAAAGATTAATGTAACATCCCCAATTAGTCCCACATTAAAGGTGGGCAAAGATTAAGATTGACTTATAAAAGTTTGATGAGCGTACTATGATAACTCCAACTTAAGTATTTTGGTCTGTGGTTTGGACCAAACAGAGTTATTGGCCAATTAGCCTATCAAAACAAAGCTATACATCAACCTTCCCTTCTCCCTTTTTCTTCACTTAACATAAGTAACTGGTTAACCTAAGACTTATGCTTGGTGAAGTCAGAGGAAACAGAAGTTCACGGTTCAATTTGAAGAAAATTATGACAAACACAATATAGGTAACATAAGCACATAAACAAAGCTATATATCAACCTTCCCTTCTCCCTTTTTCTTCACTTAACATAAGTAACTGGTTAACCTAAGACTTATGCTTGGTGAAGTCAGAGGAAACAGAAGTTCACGGTTCAATTTGAAGAAAATTATGACAAACACAATATAGGTAACATAAGCACATAAACAAAGCTATATATCAACCTTCACTTCTCCCTTTCTCTTCACTTAACAGAAGTAACTGGTTAAACTAGCAAATACTGTGGTGCTTCTTGAAGTGCAAAAACTTGACCTCTCATCAAGTTCTCCATGCTTACATGCATTTTTCAGTCATAATAACAAGAAGTTGCTAAGGCTACATAATAAGCACCTCTGTCAGATAACAATAACCATAATCAGCCAAATGAAAGAATTACCAGAACAGATATGTCCATGTTCATCAGAACTTAATAATGGTATCTTCAGCAATAGCAGTTGAGTTACAATTGTCAATTAAATGTTATAAGCCTATCCAAAAGAAAAGGAGCAACTACTAACCAATAGTCTAGTGAGAAATATACTAAGGCCATATTAAGAAAAGGATACTCACACTTAATATGGGATTATGAAAGTCATTATCATACACTGATTCAAGATCTTGAAAGAGTCTATGTTGGGGTGTATCATAGCGGCCATCACAAAGATCGAGACCTCCAAGGAAAGCAGTAATTTTTCTTGTACTTGGAGAAGCCTCTGTGTCAACAAGTAAGCATTTCTGGTGGTGTGTGTAGAGAGTCCCCACAACCTACGATAAATTTTGCATGAAAAAATTTAATTTCCTATTGAGAGGGGAAAATGAAACAACTATAAGCATATGTCACATAACAAGTAACTAATATGGACCAAATAGGTATCCTATGTATTCTAAACACATCATTTTAAGTAAGCAATACAATTAACAGATTCCATCTCTTTACTTATGATGAAAAAATCCTTAAAAAGATATCATTTAACTTTAATACGCAGTTCAGATCAATGGTTAACAATTTGTTAGTTTGTATAGGTCTCTGCTAAAGGAAAATAAATAGTACAGGGTTTCTCTTTTTTCACTTGTCAGGCATCTAACCACAAAAAGATAAAAATTCCAACATTAAAAAATAATTTCTTGTTAATACTTGTAAATTTGAAAAGCATAGAGAGTTGCATATTGCCATTACAACTCGGAACATAGTGTTAGCAAGCATTTTATCAAGCACTACAATGTAAAAAAAATTCTCTACACAACTGCAGTAGGATATAAAGGGAAGCTCACAATGTCCACCTTGATTGAAACATCTTGTATCAATTGAACACAAATTGCTTCAATTCTTCATGCTATATATTAAATCTACATGTATTTTAGTTTCCAATTTCACCTCCCTTGAGACTATTAGTAGCTTCTATCTGCTTTGTATATGTGGTTCAATTTGGCTTTCCATGAAAATCAACATCCTGTAATGTATTTAGCACAAGTGTGCTCACGTTATGACAAAGAATTGTAGTCTTTGCCTCTCGTTTCTTTTGCCAAAATATCAGTTGAACGTTGTTTTCATACATGATCATCATGGTTTAAGCTCAGACAAAGAAGAGGTTCAATTATCAAACATTTGTTGACTACCCCCAAGATATAGCTTAAAATTTTGTTCTCTGTGATTTTCCAAAAACAGTGATAAGACTATTTCTTTAATTTAAGAGAAGATCAGGTTATATCTATGATTTTCAAAAAAATCAATAATCAGGTTATTTCTTTGTTTCTTTAGTGGGCACTGATGTGGAAAACTGTGCTGTTAACTTATTGGTTGTATCAAGTTGAAGATTTTCTGTTCCCCCAGAACTCATTGTCAATCTTAGACAAAACATGGACCAATCTATGGATCCTATAGATCAAGGCAGATGAGTCAGATGATACAGTGACATAAAGGAGATTTTCACAATATCTTGGCTTTTCAAGATTATATGATGATTCTTGTTTAAGCATTTCCTTATGTTGGCTGAGAAAACAATTCAAGTAAGAAATGGATATAATCCTCCTCTTGCTTTTATGAGTTAGAAGCATTAGTATGGTGTCATATAATGTCATCATAACTTGCCTGTTGCTTAACCATGCTAAGCTTTCCACTTGCATAACGTGGTGACAGCACACAGATCACAGATGAATGCTTGAAAAACTTCCTTATTTCTTCATCATGAGTTTGCATCACTCCCGCCTGCACCAAACATCTAAAAATCAATCTTAAACAAAGAAATAGGTTATATTCATGCTCCAGTAGCATCACATATTAAATTCATCCCAACCTAAACTACAAGTCCAGCCCATATGTACAAATTACCATTGCCTATGCCATGATTGACTTTAACCATAAAAATCTTTACTAATGGAAACTTAGAACTAATATGCCCTAGAACAACAAAAATGGTGAAAGTCTAGATAGAGGAGAAACATTTAAATTCATGTTCAATAAAATTTATGGAGGATTTGTGAAACACAAATTAAACCCATGATACTCAAAGTCTCAAAGTAAATGTGTGTTTGAACAATGCAGTCTATGTTTGTAGTCAAGGTTTTCCTTAGGTCACCTGAGGTACTGCAAAGTGCAACACAGTTTGACTTAAAATATTGTTTCTTAATACAGATTGAATAATATATTTATATTAGAATTGACTGTTCCAGTTTAGGAGATATTTATGGATATTTAAGGGCACAAACACCCTGTCAATAATGATCAGACTTTGACCATACCAATATCATTTAATTGACACTAGCAGTTAATTTGACCATCAAGGGCTATTTTGGGCTTCAAAAGCTTCTGTACTGGTTGGTAATGATCGGGCTTTGATGATACAATTTACATTTTGATTGACACCTGCCCTCAATGGACAAGTTGACTGTTGGAGCAGTTTTGGGCTTATAAAAGCCCCTCCCTCCCCCCTCTTTTGCTCACTCTCACTCACACTCTTCTCACTCCTTTTTCATTCTTTTTCACTAACATTAAATTTGTTTAATATCTCCACTGATTACTGAAAAATGAACCTCTTGATTTGGAGGATAAAAGAGGGATTTGAACTGGTGAGGATAGATGGAATTTGTCTGGAGTAATGTAATTCTTGATTGATTAGTGACTAATGATTAATTAATGCCTAATTAAAGGAATTTAAGAAGAATTAGCTTAGATTGACCATGTATTGACTTCTTATATGATTTATGAGTTTATTCTACCATATTTAATGGTTAATTAGAAGCCTATCAATGCATGTTTAGCTACCAAAATTAAATTATAGACCAATAAATTAGGGTAAAAAAACTCTAAAATAGTTTTTTAAATTTTGAATTATTTTGCAGCTCTTTTTTTGGTTTATAGTATCAGTATATACCAATCCAACTAGGACCCATTCATCAAATTGGCATGATACGATAATAGATGCATGACTAATTGAATATTATCTCTATAAGATGTCTTGCCTTAAGAGAGTTTTAATATAATTTAAATTATTTTAATGGAATTTTAGCTAAATTTATTAAAGATATATAATTAAACATAAATCCCCTTCCGACCCAACCATGTATATTAGAGAATAGACAATTATTACCATAGTTCTCACTTCTCAAAACCTAAGTCAAAAGTGATCAATCAAGCCTCGAGTCACTAGTGAGATAACTAGTTGGACCGTATATTTGATTAATTTTTTTAAAAATATATAAAAATAATTTAAAAATATTTATAATCATAAAAAATATTTTTAAAAAATTAAAAATATTAAACAATAAAAAAGACATAAAGTCCCAACTATTTGGGACTTACTCTACCTCTCCTCCTATCACTAGTAATCATTTCACATCTTCTAACTACTGATTATATTTGTAGATCTCTTGAGCACATGTATATGTCATCTTAAACAATTCTTCCTCATTTTATCCTCTATCAAAGTGATACATAATTATTCACAAATAAAAATATTTTTTTTTCTATCTTCCTAGTAACCCCATACATCCACCTCAAAGGTACCTGATGAATTTTTTAATTATCCAACACTTAGATCAATAAAACATTATTGGTCTAACATCTATCTTATGAAATTTTTTTTAAACTTCAAAGGTACTTGATGATCACACAAGACTCCTAATGCCCCTCACCATTTTAACCATCTTTTTTTTACTTTATTAATATTATCTTCATCAATTTCTCCATCTTATTGAACAATTAATTTAAGATTTTATACTTAATGGAACTTCTTGCTCATCCAACTTAACTATATACTCTTGTTTATTTATAGTATTATGAAAATTGCATCTCATATATTCAGTTTTAATCCTACTTAATCTAAAACATTTAGTTTATAAAAATTACCTCAATAACTTAAGTCTAGAATTAATTTTATTTAACTCACATTTAATAATATCATAAGCAAATTACATACATCAACATGCATCAAGGTAGTCTATCTTATAAATGATTATCAATGTGAAAATGTAGGGACTTAATACAGATCATTGATGTAGTCCTATACTATTAGGAAACTCACTTGAAAACCTCTAGCTAGATTATTATATATATCCTTAATATAATTAGTGGATACACTTTTCTTTTCAAAAACCCACCATAAGAAACAATTATGAACTCTATCATAGGCTTCCTCTAAATCGATAAAAACCATATGCAAATCTTTCTTTTTCTTTTTGATACTTTTCCATTAATTTTCTTAATAAATAAATATTTTCTATAGTTGATCTTATAGGTATAAAACTAAATTGATTTTTAGAGACATTTATTTTAATCTTATCCTACTTTTGATAACTCTTACCCAAAGTTTCATAATGTTAAACAAGGTTTTAATTCCTCTATAATTACAATAATTTTATATGTCATATTTATTCTTGTAAATTAATACTAAAAAGCTCTTCCTCCATTCATCGAGCATGTTTCTAAATCTCAAAATTTTGTTAAATTAACTAGTTAAATAAGCTAATCCTTGAACTCTTTTTCTAAACATCAATCGAGGCTCGTACTTTTAGCTATTTTCATCTTCTTTTATGCGTTTTTCACTTCCTTAGCTATAATTTTACAAACAAATACACAATTATTAAATCTACAACTAGTATACATCGTTAAAGCTAAATCATTTATGGAATATTCATTAAATAATTTACAAAATTATTTTCTTTCATCCTTGATTGATTTCGCTATCATTAACAAGTACTATTTGATCGTCCTCTTTAATGTATCTAATATTACCTAAATATTTATATTTCTTTCTTTAGCTTTATTAATTCGATATATATTATTTTTCTCATCTTTGGTAGATAAGTTGTTATAAAAATTATCATAAGCTTTATATCTTATCATACAATAATTATTTTAACCTCTTTTTTAGATTTTACATATCTCTTAAATTTCTCCTCATTTTTAGAATTTTATCAATCAATAAAGCATGGTCTTTTAGTAATAATTACTTTCTAAACTTCCTCACACCACCACCAACAAGTTTTAAAGTTACACCACTACCTTAAGTTTCACTAAGAATCTCCTTTGTTAAGCTCCTAATCTTATTGATCAACGTAGTCTAAATAATATTAATATTATACTCATTTAAGTTCCAAGCCATACCTTTCCATCTTATTCTTAAAAGCCCTTACATTATTATCTTTAAATTTAACCATCTAGTCTAAGTAAAATTTTCTACTATCTTTTTCATTTTCCATTTTCTACAACAAATATCTAATATCATAAACTTATGTTGATTCATCAAGCTTTACAATTCATACGTATACTTTTATCTAACTTTATGGTGGGAAAAAAATTTATTTCACTACAGTTATGACCACTCTTGCAAATAATCAAATATTCATCTATCTTCTTAAGGTGAGTAATTAAATTACGAGATTATACAAAGTGAAAAAATCCAAAATCATACCATCCACTTCATTCATCTCCCCATAACCAAAGCCTCAGGTACCCCTTTAAACTTATCGTACAATTTTCCTACATTGTCATTCAAATCTCCTGCAATTATAAGTTTTTCAGTTGTCGGTATTCCTTAAATGATTTCATCTAAGTTTTTTTAAAATTCTCTTCTGGTTTGATTATCTAGTCCAACTTGAGGGGCATAAGTATGTATAACATTTAAAACCTCTTCTCCCAAGACAAATTTTAGAATTATAATATTATCTTCAAATATTTCACATTTACAATATTGTTTTTAAGATCCTTATGAACAATAATACCTACACTAATTTTATATTTAACTTTTTCAATACACCAAATTCTAACGCACTACTATTAACCTCCCAAGATTTTTCTCCTAACCACTTTATCTGTTGTAAGCAAAAAATATTTATTATTCTCTTGGTCATATTGTCTACCAATTCAAGACTCTTTTCTAAAAGTGTTCTTATATTCCAAGTTAACCTAGACATATACCCTTGGACTAAAAATATCAAAATCAATAAAAAAATAAAAAAAATTCTAAACATAAATAAAACAAAAACATCAACCAAAACTTCAATTATATAGAATAAGAAAGAATAACATCAACCAATATTATAAATATAAATCTTTATCAAAATTAAAGAACACATGATAATGTTTAAAAAGTAATTACTATCCAAACTAAATTGTTCAACTACATGAAATAAATAGTTTATTCAACATAGTTATCATAACTCAAATTTTGGACACACATGAATTTCTTATAGATCAAAACAATTAGTACAAGTCATTAAATTGTCACTTTGTGGTTCTACCTCAAAAAGAGAAGTCCATTCTGTATCGTATTTGGAATTTTCAAACTCTGATACGATGAAATAAAACAATAATGAATAGTAACAACGAAGATAATCATAGAAACACGAGCGATAAGGATAAAGAAGCAGATCAGATGAAAACCTGACCGGAGGTAGAGAAGCAGCCAATGGTAAGGAGTTGTCGAAGGAAGAGAAACCAATAGAACATATAGGAAGACATAAGAGGAGTGGTAGGAGGGAGAGGAGATGGACAGACGATAGAGGAGACGAGGGTGGAGAGACAATGGCGGTTAGAGGGAGATGAGGAGAGCGACCGACGGGGATCGAAGAAAGAGAAGGTGGAAGGAAAAGTCAAATCATTTTGTAAAGACCACCATTGTTGCTTCCATCAAACTTTCATCTTTACTCAATCATAATCATTCAGAGTTCGTCTTAACTTAAAATCAGTCAATTATCAAATGGTGTCATAAAGTCAAATCATGCATTCGGATGCATGGATTCAAAACATGTAGAATTTATGACTATATTGTATGTGTATATATATATCTATATATGGACAAAAAGGGGGGTGCAGTAAAGGTGACATTTTTTAGTTTTATTTATTACTTTGTGCTTTGAATAGTTTATGGAGTCTAGTTAGTTACCTAGGAACTACGATTTGGTAGAGATCACAGGTAAGTCTTCATGTGAGAGAAGGATGTCGACGACTTACGATTTGACTAAGGAAAACCAAAAATGTACAAAAGCTTATAACTTTGTCAAAAGTATTTTGAATGTTATCAGAGGCCTGTTGTTTCAAGTTGATCAACATTTCTCATCTTCCTCTTTCTCCCTTTTGCTTTATACCTCTTCCTTCACTATTTCTCCAATCAAGACAAGGGAAGAAAAACAAGTGGAAGGAGAAAATCCAACCTCCTGAATTCCAGGAGGATTACCTAATCACATGTGAAATTGGCCTCAGAGTAGAGCTCAAGATGACCCGGTTATGTACCTAGATAGGAACTGGCTGCATCTTATTTCGAGTGCAATTCCAGAGGAAAACGTTCTAAATGATAATATCACATTGATACATAAGCATTAATCAATGATCATAAACTGGGAAGAAAATAAACAAAACAAAGAAATTTCTTACACTCTTGAAGAAGTACTTATCATGTGAAGTCTTGTCATCCCAGACCAGCACACACACACGGACGCCCTCCTCTGACTTGTACTTCAGCAGCTCTCCTAAAGTACATTTCCCAGCTGCCGGTAATAGCCTGGTCGGCTCCCTTACCAACTTAACCTTGTCATAGAGCGACCATCCAACAATATAAATCAAATGATGAGCCTCCAAGATCGCATGGCATATGTCTTCCCAGCACTTGCCCTGCTGAAACACCTTCCCACCCTCCAATTCGATCCCAGGAAGCTCTCCTGCCCTCACATGTGCATCCTGGTAGAGGGTTACCTTCCCCCCCTTCCTCAGATGGAAATAAGTGTCGCTCACCCCCAAGTGTTTGCGATCGCCAGCAATCCCATGCCGGTACAGCGGATTCGCTTCCACGGGGGTAAATGACAAGGACACCAGGAGAGCGGAGTCTGGCTTTGGCGGCCGCCCGGTAGGTGCGATGATCGGGAGCCATTCCTGGGACAGACCGACCGAGGCGACGAGGGCAGCAGGGATGGTGGCGGTCCCGATGAGCTGAGAGCCGAACAAGTCATTGTCCTTGACCTGGAATTCGATCTTGGCAGCGCAATGCGCGAGCGGAATCCTGAAGCGCTGGCGCCAGACGGGGTCCTCAGTGTTGGGGATGACGTGGGTGCGAGCGACAGTGGCGCCGGCGACGACGACTTTGGTGTAGGGATCACTGGTAATGATCTTAGGACGGGCACGGCCGGCGCTGGCGGAGGATGGGAGATTGCGGCCGTCGGCGGGGCGGGGGAAAGGGAGGCCACATAAACCGAAGCAGCGACGGAAGCGCTCAGCGCAGAGATCCATGTTGAGGAGGTCGCGAGCGGCGATGATCTCTAGGTCGAGGTCGCCGTGGAGGAGGATGGCCTGGTCGGAGGTCGAACCCATCGCAGTCGAGTTGTGGGTAACTTGGAAGATCAAGAAGAGGAGGAGGAAGAGCCATCGGAAGCGAGGGGGAGTATAACAGAGAGAGAGAGAGAGAGAGAGAGAGAGAGGAGGGAGAGAGAAGTGGAGAAGAAGGGAAGGATTAGGTTCTTTTCTTGAAGCAAGAGGTTCTTGAAGAAGGTCGGGGACCGGAAAGAAGTGGTTGCCGATCAAAGAGAAAGGGCGGGCTCGATAGTTGTTGAACGTGAAATAGGAAAGGATGCATCAAGAAGGTCGACGTGGCTTCCATCAGAACGGTATTCCTCTTCTCGCTTTGAAGGAAAAAACACAAAAAGCCATGAGGACACCCGTCAAAGTTGAAACTCGAATGACCGTTGAAACTTTTCAGGGATTTCACGTCGGGCTGAGATCCTCTGCCGTTCAATACATGGATCATCTCTCCAATGAACGGTACAGATCTAATCCCGATCCGACCGTTACTTTCTAAAATAGGCATCCACTTCCTCATGATCTTACCGAAATCAGACGGTTCCGATGGAACAGACGACCCGAATGACATCGTTCAATACTCCGACCGCTTCGGTCCTCGGCGCTTCCCTCACCCGCGCCGCCGACACCTTGCCCTCGACTGCGCTGTCGCTCCATGTCGATGCCCTCTGACACGGCCTCCGCCTCACTCATGGAAGCATATATGATTACATACAACCTCTATAGCCTGTCAAAGACAACACTAACAATGAACATCTTTGAGAAGAATGGCAATGGTGGTGATTCATCATCGGAGGTTAGATGCAAATTTTGTATTGAAAACTGACAAAAGCGGCACTTCGATTGTCTCCCTCACTGTGTATAAACAACTGCAGGCGGCTGCAAATACAAGTTATTATCACAGCTTCTGTCTGAGACAAGTTTTCGGTTCCTTTAAATAGCATGTCACCTCCATCTTTCGTTATTTACATACATGCTAACTTGTACTGTATACATCATGCCTTAGTGCACTCAATTTATCTTTACTACATATATGTCGTGATTGAGGTCACCAATAATCACCACAACTACATGTGCCATCGGAGAAGTGATGATAGATCTTTGTGTCACCAACAATAATCTCTCGTCCGCTAAAACCAGATATCAGCTTGACTGCATGGTGGCAATGATTACATATTCGGACATTCTTCTTCACTAAGACAGGGCTTCCAACTGTTGACGATATCAATCTAAATATAACTGCTAGCCTTAAGCTGTGCCTGTTTGGCGAATTTGCTTTCTTCATTACTGCATCAATTGGGTCAAATATGGCACCAGGATCACAAGCAGCTTCTTCAATCTTTCTTGAAAGAACACTCGACACTTGATGAATCTTATTGCTTTGATCATGCGATCTGTCTCCATTAACAAAACTGCACGTTTTTCCATCAAACTCGACCAGGCTTCTTGCTGCTGTCCTGTTGAGCCCCTTCTGCCTCATAAGAGACATCACCCTGTCCACATCTTCCCGTTTCCCGGCATCAGCATACATGCTCGAGAGTAGGACATAACAACCAGTGTTGTCATGTTCCAATCGTAAGATTTGTTCTGCTGCAAACTCTGCTACTTCGATGTTCCTGTTGTTCCTACCTGCGGTTAAAAGTGATCCCCATATTCTTGCGGTAGGAACTAATGGCATTTTGTTTATGAAGTCTATTGCTGCTCTCAGATCTCCTGTCCGTCCAAGGAGATCGACCATGCATCCATAATGCTCAATCTCAGGAGACATGCCATATTCTTGTTGCATAGAATCAAAGTGCAGCCAACCTTCGTCGGATAAGCCAGTTATGCTGCAAGCAGTTAACACCGATGTGAATGTACTCTGGTTAGGCTTCAATCCGGTGTCCTTCATAGCAGAGAACAGTTCTAATGCAGCTTTCCCGTGTCCATGAATAGCATAACCCATGATGAGTATATTCCATGAGACCAGGTCCCTGCACATCATTCTATCAAACACTTGCCTTGAGATGTTCAGATCACCACATCTTGCATACATGTTTACAATGGAATTCAGCACCACAGAGTCACGTCCATACCCAGCCCTCAAGACATAGCTGTGAATTTGCGTTCCTTGCTGTAGTGATGCTAGCTCGGCACAGGCAGGGATGATGCTTGAAATGGTGAAGACATCTGGTCCGAGAGGCCCTTCCTGAAGGTGGAGAAAGAGCTGCAGTGCTTCTAAGTTCCTCCCATTTTGTACGTAGGCCGCGATCATGGTGTTCCATGATACCAAGCTCTTCTCGGTCATCTTTTCGAATAACAATTCCGAGGGCTTCAGATCTCCACATTTCGCATACATATCCATCAAGGCGGTCTCAAGGATCAGATGAGGAAGGAACCCTTTTTTAATTGCTAATGCGTGAATCGCTTTTCCATGATCCATGCTTCTCAGTTCCGCACACGCAGGTAGGAGATTCACCACTGTGATTGTATCTGGAATCATGTAATTGTCTTGCATTTTGATGGCGCTAGCAAATGCCTGCAGTGGTTCATCATTCAGCGCATACCCGCCAATCAAGGCGTTCCAAGTTACGATGTTTCTCCGAGACATTGAGCTGAATAGTCTTTGGGCATAGACCATGTCTCCATTTTTGCAGTACATGTCTAGAAGAGCAGTCTGGAGCTTGATATCAGGCTCTAGCCCATTCCTTATGACATGGCAATGGATCTCCTTCCCTTGCTCCAAACACAGCTCCAGAGAACAGGCTGCCAGAGCACTCGTGATAGCGAACCAATCAAGCCTCATGCCAAAAGCCTCTTGCATCTGTTTGATGCACACCAAAGACCTCCAGCCTTCTCCATTCGAAACATAACCATCGACCAGCGAATTCCATGACACGTCATCCCTTTCAGGCATTTCGTAGAACACCCTCTCGGCAGCGCTGAGGAGCCCAAACTTGGAATACATCGTTACGAGCGAATTGCAGATGAAAAGATCTGAATCCAACCCAACCTTGATGATCTTGGCATGGACTCTCAGCCCGTCATCGTACGATGACGAGTTGGCAAAGGATTTGATCACGAAGGGGAAGGTGAAATGATCCGCCCAGACGCCCGCGTCCTGCATTCGGCGGTAAACATGGACGGCTTCTTCGTAGAGCTCGCCGTTGGCGTACCCCCTGATCATGAGGTTCCACAGGAACGTGTCGGGCTTCTCGGTGCTCTCGAACAAAGACGCAGCTTCTCGGACTCGTCCGGCGTTTATGAGGGAGAAGAGCGTGCGCGCGACGGAGGCTAGGTTGACTCTGGACCAGCGCCTGGTGGTCGAGGTGGAGGCGGCGGGGGAGTCTCTGAGGAGGCGACGCTGTGGATTGCTGCCGGAGACGGTGTTGCAGGAGCTGTGAACGAATGCCGTGGCCATAACAGCAACACCCAACGGCAGGAGAAACGAGAGGGGATCAACTTGCGAGTGAGGTATCGCTCGTGTTTTTGTTTTCTGTTCTTTGGCTTACACGAGCTATCCAAAGATGAATACGACAGGTCTGGTCGAGGCTGCTGCAAAGTCGCTTGAAATTTGGAAGTGTTTTCTGGAAATTAAAAAGTATTTTTACTTTTAACGTCTCTTCCACGATATGTCAGAAATGAAATGATGAAAGCACGCACCGATGCGTCAGTAATGAAATGTGATGAAACCACACAAAAGAAAGGACTTATTAAAGCATTATAGACACACAATTAGCAAACTGAATCTTCTGTGCAAAGCATACACCATCACATGAGCAATTGTTTGATGTCCCAAATGCATATTTATATGCGCTTGTTAGAGAGGAGGATTAACGCCGGTCGTGTCGGCCTCGGCGGCCATCATCTGAGCTCGCGCGTCTAGTGAACTCCGAATGATGTGGCACAGCAGTGCTCCATGGCCGGAGAGAGGTACAAAAGCAGGTCGCTTTGGTGCCGCGGTCTCCCCCGTGGATACGATGGTCGGCTGGTTCAGATACGCATACTTGCTTCTGGTCCACCTGCAGTCGAGTGGTGATCTAAGAATTAGTAGAGTCGGAAACCAGATGATGATATGTATCTTTCGATCGTCTCTTCACTTTTTTGGCTTGGTGGAGTAAAGGGAGTCTCAAGAAAAAGGATGGAATCATGTTCACTGTTCATGCAGCCACAAAGTCAACATCCTAAATGCTTTGCTTGATTGTCTTTAGAAAAGAAGACAAAGCGGAGGTGAGTGGTTTCAAGCCCACCAGTCCTTGATTCCTATCGGTAGCTCCTTGTTTCCGCCGCCGCCGCCCGTCTGTTCCTCCTCTTCATCCATCATCTTCTGCAGCAGCTCCTCGAATCGTCGATGGTCTTCCTCCTGCACAGCACAATTTCATCATGGCGGCGGCAAGGTCCAACGAAAACAGCTCTTGGTGCCATAAATCAACGCAATCAAGAAGCGGGAAGGACTCGCCTTGAGAGCCTTGGCCCTGATCCTGGCCGCCGCCTTCTGCGCGAAGAGGAGGTGGTCCTCCTCGATCATTCTTCTCATCCGCCAGTACCGGTCGATCTCGTCCCTCGTGGAACTCCTCACCTTGATCGGTCTTCGAGCCGCCGACGGCGCCCACAGCGGCGGCGGAGGCGGTGGTGGAGCCGATAACTTCTTCGTGAAGATCGCAGGCTTCGTCTGTGCACCGGTCTTTGCCGTCTCCATGCCGCTTCTTTTTCTTGGCCCTGCTGCAGTCACCTCGGTTCTCTCTTTACCGTAACATATATGTAGACAAATACTATATTGAAGAATCTCGGAAACTGGTGTTGCAATCTACCCGATCTGAAGTGGAGTTGTGATCCTTCCTCTACATTCCTTGTGCGCTTCTACTTCCTTTCAGCTTTATAAGCCTTGGCTTTATCTTCTCCATCTCACGTCGTTTTCTTCCTGCTGATCAAAGTTGGAGTGTCATCAAAGGGCCCACCAAATGACTTCTCCACTGGTCTGCCATTGTATCTGGTCCAAACCGGGTGCGGAATCTCTCCATTTCAACCCACTGCTCCACCCACTATGGAGCAATCTTCTTGATGAAATTTATTGGCTACAGTGTCAATTACAGAGGGATCAAGAGAGATGAAATCTGATTACTGTAGCCGATCGGTTGCTTGTAAAACTGTGAAAACTTGGAATAAAGAGAGAGAATGAATGAATGAATGAATGAATGCTGTAATTTCATCGTAACGTCGCTTTAAATATAAGGAGACAATGAAATTGACAACGGTGGTTGGATATGCCACCAAACGAAGGAGATAAAGAGTGAGTGGGGTCATCCAAAATCATTTTTTGTATGCATCGGGCTTCCCGCACTGTTATTATAGTGCCTCAGTTAGGTAGCAACATAAATTGGAGAGGATCACCAATTAAAGAAAACTAATCAAACTGACCACCGTCTTGTCTTTCTCGCATCATTTGTTACCGTCAGATTCACATGGACGGTTTGATCAGCTGGTGGTAACCACAAAGAAAAGGATGGTGTAAATTATGATGCATATTAAAAACAACCAGCAGTCCTTTAACCTTAAAAGTTGAGAGCCACACATATGGATCAAGACGACTTGACGGAAAGTAATGGCTCAACATAGCAACTTGATTTGATCAGTCCAGCAAATAAATTTCCTATCATCATCGACGAGCCATCATCATGTGCTGAAGCACTTAATGTGATAAAAATCTCTTGAGGGTTATCAGGTGGTGGTGCCCTTTTTATTTCTTGGGCCGGTTTGATGGAAAAAACCCAAGACCGATTTCACAATGCCTGTGCCCAAACGCACACAATGAAATATTTTAAACCCGATAAATAAAAATGAAAAGACGATGTTATACAGGAACGGCTCCTTGTCGATCCGTGCTCAAAATTAATTATTGGCTTTGATCAAGCTCCTAATGACGTATGGCAGAATTCCACCGTGGTTGTAGTATGCTAGCTCCACCTGCACCAACAGGAAGCATATCAATAACTAAAATTTACAACATTAAAAAAAAAGCATAAGATTAAAAGAACCAACGGAACTTATATTTGTACCTCGGTGTCAAAGCGAACCGTGCATGTGAATGACTTGCCAGTATCTGTCGTCACTGTGACATCCTGTCCGGGTTTGATATCACTCACATTGCTTGGTAGGTGGATGGTGTAACGTTCATGACCTGTCAAGCCGAGGGTCTCTGCGTCTTCCCCAGACTTGAAACACAAGGGGATAATTCCCATGCCGACAAGGTTGCTACGGTGAATTCTCTCAAAGCTTTTCGCTATCACTGCTTTGACACCCTGCAATCATGACAGTGTTCCAGGAAATATTAATATCATGGGGAAAATATTACCAGATGATACTAATAACTAAGACCTAGAGAAGTAACCTGTAGCATCGGGCCCTTTGCGGCCCAATCACGAGAACTTCCACTTCCATATTCTTCACCTGCCAATACTATAGTATCATGCCCCTCGCTTTTGTATCTCTGCAAACAAAGCGAAAAATATTAGTTAAGTGAAACGTACTCTACTTGATTTTGACAAGAACAAGTCTATGTAGTGCAGCTCCTACATGAAGTAGTACACAAGCTATGAGCGGTTCTGAAGTAACTAACCGTGGCAGCGTCAAATGCAGAAAGTTTCTCGCCAGAGGGAACGTGAATGGTTTTGGGACCAACTTCTCCTTTCAAGAACTTGTTAACGAGGCGAATGTTTGCAAATGTTCCCCTTGCCATAACCTCATCATTTCCTCGGCGACTCCCGTATGAGTTGAAGTCTTTCGGAGAAACACCACGCTCCATCAAGTACTTGGCAGCTGGACTGTCCTTGTGAATGCTTCCGGCAGGTGAAATGTGATCTGTTGTGATACTGTCACCGAAGTTCAGCAAGCAATAAGCATCTTTCACAGGATGTGGACCGGGGGGTGACATCGTCATGTCCTTGAAATAAGGAGGTTCATGAATGTATGTTGATGTAGGATCCCATGTGTAGAGAGTACTAGATGGCACTGACAGCTGGTTCCACATGGGATTCCCTTTGGTTATTGCCTTGTATGTTTCCTTAAACATGTCTGGAAGCACACTAGATTGTACAACCTAGAGAAACAAAGAAAACAAGTTTGAACCAGGCCTTCTAATAATAATAAAAATAGGGAACACACAAGGAATATCTCACATCTGCTATCTCTTCATTCAAGGGCCAAATATCCTTGAAGTAAACCTTCTTTCCATCCTTCGAGGTCCCTATAGGTTCTTTTTCAAAGTCAATGTCAACCTGCAAGATGATTCTTGTTAAACGGTTAAATCCATATTTGATTTGGTCTTCATGAAATTTAGCATGTCTTTGCTGATGTTGTATACATTCTAAATATAATAACTAACAAGTACAGATCAACTGTGTCATAAGACTAGAGGTTCCTCTAAAAGACAGGTTGAAAGGACCACATATTAATTATTCGGCATCTTAACAAATAATTTTCCTTTCAAGAGGAACACATATTTAGATTTTTTTTTCAATTTGGTGCTAAAAGTTGGTTGGAAGTTTATGATCTGAATTAATTTCTGTCTTTAGTAAGAACTCAGAGTTTTCCAGAGTGGTCAACATAAGAATGTAACATGAAAAGATGACATAAATGCTAGACAGTTAGGCAAGTTAAGTACATCGTAAAAGTAAACTAGCTGACAGATAACTGCAAACTATGCCCAGTCCATCAAGGAAAATTATATCCTCGTACTTCTCAAGCTTTCTATTAAACATAATACCTCAAGGCCATCACCTTTTCATGACTTATAATAATGACCAGGTTCTTCCATCAATTTCAGATTTAGAAGTAACAGTATGCTGTCTTGGAACTATTAATTTCCATCATTAAACATTACTTTTCATTAGTAAGTTCTTTTCCAAGTAATATTAACGTGAAATAACAGAAAATATGACAGAATTTCGACTACTGCTTTTACAGAAAATACAGATAAGAAAGTGGCAGATCAAGACCATTGATGCATACCGTGCCAGCAAGAGCATAAGCTACCACAAGGGGAGGTGATGCAAGATAATTTGCTCTGGTCAAAGGATGTACACGCCCCTCAAAGTTCCTATTCCCAGACAACACAGCAGCAGCAACTATGTCTGGAAGTACAACACCAACTTCAGACTTCATTTTTTAAGAGAACAAAAGAATGTACTAACCTGAAGAAATTAAAAACATTACCATTCTCAGATATGGCAGCTGATACTGCTTCATCCAGCTCACCAGAATTTCCAATGCAGGTAGTGCACCCATATCCAACTATATTGAAACCCAGCTGGTCCAAGTACTTCTGCAGACCACTGAAATAAACATTCCAGGTTTAAGTTTTGAAATAACAGAGAAGCTTAAAATTATAAGTACTGCTGCTACAATCTTTAAAGCTACCTCTTCTCCAGGTATTTAGTCACAACTCCAGAACCTGGAGCAAGACTAGTCTTAATCCATGGTTTCACCTGATTTGAATGAGAAGAATATTAGACAAAGGGAATCAAGTATTGGCATGTGGGTATCTGAACTGTATCAACTACAGATTAAACATGTTGAAGCTGTTGATTGAATTACTTTCTAATATACATAACCTACTTCAAATTTTAATTGCAATTTACTCGACTAAGCAGCTGCCATACAACGTGTCATTTTGATGGGCATAAGTATTGATTATTGAATATTAATCATAAGGACATAAATGCTTCACTAGTTGTACAAATGCGGGTAAAAATACGCACAAGACATCAACTCTGCTAGAAATTAGACTTGGTGCAGTCAAATCCAATTCAGTTGAATCAGATATATAGCATTTATGGCCGTATGGTATATCATGGGCATGCTGCAGTATTCAATAAACAGTGGAGATACATTTAATTATAACAATAAAAGTAAATACTACCTACATTCCTGCATCAGAAAAGAAAAAAAGAAGAGAAAAGTATGTTATCAGGCATATTAACTTTCTAAGATACTGATCAAGGCGAAGAAGAAATCCTTCACCAATTGCAGCCACAGACAAATTGCATTATGTAATATCAGCACTGGGTTTGATACAAATACATAGCTTTTTGTTCATCATGAAAGAGAAGTATGCCTGATATGCTTAAACAGAAGAGAACAGTATGTACTTTAAGAAAGTCATTAGTAAAATGTACCCTCTTTGTCAACAAATATCAGATAGTGATATCAAAGAATTGAAAGGTGATTACTAGTGATATTAGCATATCATAGTTATCTTTTCCTTGCAGCTAATGACTTCATTCATAGAAGGTAATTGTTTATGATATTATGACAGTTGCTCGTGACAGTCCTGAACACAATAGGATGACAAAATTGAATTTTTTGTCTAATAACTGAAATGTTAGAAAAGGAGAAATAAAAGAGGTATGCATTATGCAAATGCTAAAGCATCATAGTTAACCTCAAGACCCAGCTCACAAGCCTTCTTTGCAACCAAAGCAGCTCCAAGCATTACACTAGGATTTGATGTGTTCGTGCAACTGGTAATTGCAGCAATCACAACATCACCATGCTTAATCTGGGCAGGTGTACCACGGAAAGAAAATTCTGCAATTTTGTTCTGTGATTCTTTTGGCACAGCAAAACCCTACAAAAAAACATATGGATTGTTGGAACAACTATAAAGCAAATCTTATTGTAAAACATGCAAGATGCAGTTAACCTGCAATATCATTTTACATGTATTCTTGCTTTTGTATACAAAGCACAATTGCCAAAGGGAATATTGTGCAATATCTGATAATTTAAATTGATATGTACAAATGAGATTAGTGACATATGGGAAACTGCCAGACAGATGCCCAGGTACAGGCAAAACTAGTTTTCGTGAGAGACATTTTCTAACAAAAAAAATATTTTTGTTATGTGCCTCATTTTTATAGTGAACAAAATTTTGACTTTTCATATCTGTGTTGCCAAAGAAAGGATTCCCCACCGGATGGTATGGCCAGAACAACATGGCCAGGTACTTAGGTTATGCTTATATAGCACCC